GACGGCAGACACTCCAGCAGCCAAAGTCACCTTGAAAGAGCAAGGCACACAGGGAGAGATGGGAGACCATTGTCCCCTTTGACAGCAAGGAAGCAGGAAAGACAAAGGTGACTTGCCAGACTTGTGCGCAAGCTAACAGAACAGAGATGACTCCTCAATCATTTATAGAAAGGGAGGCCAACCCTCCTGTCATCTTGTCCAGAAATAAATGGCATCAATCAGCTGGCAGAGCATTTCTCTTGCCTCCTGATTGCTGGGCTCTCCTTTTTTGTTCTACCAGAAACATTTGCATTCTTTCTATCTGGGAAGCTGAGGCATGACGACCACCCTTTCCCATACCCATGAAGACTGGAAGACTAACCTGGCAGATTTTCACCTCCTGAGCCACTGGACGTGACACTTCAGGTGGCCTGTGCTGTCCTAAGCTGTATCTGATGACCTAACTGCCAAAGGAAGGTTCTGTAGCCTCTTACTCTTTTTTTTTTTTGCAGATGGGTTAACTAAGGCAAACAGTATTCAACTCCCTCAGCCAAGATTAATTACTGGTGTCAGTGCCAGGATGGTGAGCTTAACGGTAAAACCAGGGTAGGCAGACCATAGAGCAGCCTGCTGCCTTTCACCTGAATATGTTAAAAGAATTTAAGTCCTGAATTCACCCATGCGCCCTCTGAGACCACATTCTAGTCCCGTGCTAAGGTCAAAAAGTGTTTTTTTCAGCTACGGAAGGGAAGATAGGAAAAAGCTTCCCTACCATGTCTCTGGGTGTTGGGGAACAGTCAGCCAAGACCAAGGCCACAGCACCTATGAGGCCTTCTCCCCACCAGCACCTCCAGGCAAGGATGGGATGTCACTATTCTCTCAAAACATCTGCCTGTCTTGGGCATGGCCTCAGCTACTCGCTAAAGGAATCACCTCAGAAGCCTGCTCTCCTTTTGAAGCCAGCGGACTGCTGCCTGTGGAAATGCAGTCCTATTTCAGGACTTCATTTGAAAGAGATTTCAAAGAGTGGCTGGGAAGCTGCAGCGAATTGCTTTTTGTGGCTCATCTCCTTGGCCAGAGCCTCATCTTGAGCTCAAAGCAGCAGCTGCCACTTCTCACGTCACAGCCACATCACTGGCAGGCTAAGCGTGCTCAGAATAAGCACAAAAGGGCTCTACTTCTTCTAGAACTTCCCCCATACAGGGCTGGGCACATTCACGCCTTGTACCTTTCTCACTAAATGTTCAAAATTGTCTACTGGGGGAGACTGTTAGTCAATTACAGGACTCTGACCCTGGATTATGTAGAAAACGCCTTAAAGATACGAGAAGGCAGGGAAGATGGCTCAGCTTGCTGCTCTTCCAGAGGACCAGAGTTGGCCTCCCAGAACCCATGTCAGGGTGGCTTACAATTGCCAACAGCTCCACCTCCTGGGGAGGGATCTGATGCTCTTCTGGTGTCTTCGGGGAACCCACATAGGCCGTGCACATGCACAAGAACACAAGGGAAGCAGATAAACACATTTAAGAACATGTCAAGAAGTGATGAGGAACACCAGGGCACTCTGTCACCTTCTGCTCTGAAGAAAGTGACATCAGTCCTGCATCTGCACTCTGGGGGTAGTTGGGCACCACCTCCAAGCACCATCTTCCTTTCATCTCCACAGAAATTTTGAGAGGCTGGGACAACAGCCTTGTTTCCCTCTCAGAGGTGAAAAGTCATTGTGAATGGTCACATATCACAGCCTGATGGAAATACAGCTCTTGGCCACTGGTGACTTTATCTCTCAGGGATGATGATTCACAGAAACTACCCTTTCAGGTGTTTATCTCTGTCCCAACATGGGAAAGCCGCCTTAAAACAAAAAACAAAACAAAAAAAAAACCTCTATATTCAGGACAATGGTGAGTCAGTAGACCTTCTCATCTGAGAGGCTTTTAAAAAAATATTTACTTCAGTTTATTCACTTTGTACCCCAACTGTAGCCCTCTCCCTTGTCCCCTCCCAATCCCATTCTCCTTCCTTCATTTCCCATGCCCCTCCCCAACTCCACTGATAGGGGAGGTCCTCCTCCCCTTCCCTCTCAACCTAAGCTATCAGGTCTCATCATTACTGTGATGGCCTGTGTGGCCTGGTAAGGCTGCACCCCCTCAGGGGAAGGTGATCAAAGAGCAGGCCACTGAGTTCATGTTAGAGACAGTCCCTGTTCCCATTACTAAGGAACCCACTTGGATACTGAGCTGCCATGGGCTACATCTGTGCAAGGGTTCTAGGGTTATCTCCATGAATGGGCCTTGTTTGGAGTATCAGTCTCAGAAAATATCTCTGGACCCAGAGTTTTTTGGTTCTGTTGCTCTCCTTGTGGACCTCCAGTCCCCTCCAGGTCTATTTCCCCTTCTATCATAAGATTCCCTGCACTCTGCCCAAAGTTTGACTATGAATCTCAGCCTCTGCTTTGATACCTAGTAGGGTAGAGTCTTTCAGAGGCCCTCTGTGGTAGGCTCCTGTCCTGTTCCCCGTTTTCTCCCTCTTCTGATGTCCATCCCATTTGCCTTTCTGAATGAGGACTGATCATCTTACATAGGTTCCTCCTTCTTGATTAGCTTCTTTAGGCATACAGATTTTAGTATGATTATCCTGTATATTGTATGTCTAATATCCACTTGTAAGTGAGTATATACCATGCGTGTCTTTCCGCTTCTGGGATACCTCACTCAGGATGATCTTTTCTAGTTCCCATCATTTGCCTGCAAATTTCATAATTTCCTTGTTTTTAATTGCTGAGTAGTATTCAATTGTGTAAATGTACCACAATTTCTGTATCCATTCTTCAGTTGAGGGATATCTGGGTTGTTTCCAGATTCTGGCTATTATAAATAAAGCTGCTATGAACATGGTTGAGCAAATGTCCTTGTTGTGTACTTGAGCATATTTTGGATATATGTCTAGGAGTAGTATAGCTGGATCTTGAGGTAGCACTATTCCTAATTGTCTGAGAAACTGACAGATTAATTTCCAAAGTGGTTGTACAAGTTTACACTCCCACCAGCAATGGAGGAATGTGTCCCTTTCTCCACATCCTCTCCAGCATGTATTACTTGAGTTTTTGATCTTAGCCATTCTGATGGGTATAAGGTGAAATCTCAGGATCCTATTGATTTGCATTTACCTGATGACTAAGGACACTGAGCATTTCTTTAAGTGTTTCTCTGCCATTCAATATTCCTCTATTGAGAATTCTCTGTTTAGCTCTGTAACCCGTTTTTCCATTGGGTTACTTGATTTGTTGCTGTTGAACTTTTTAAGTTCTTTATATATTCTGGATATTAGCCCTCTGTCAGATATAGGGTTAGTGAAGATCCTTGCCCATTCTGTAGGCTGTAGTTTTGTTCTGATGACAGTGTCCTTTGCTTTACAGAAGCTTTTCAGTTTCATGAGGTCCCATTTATTGGTTGTTGATCTTAGAGCCTGTGCTGCTGTTGTTTTGTTCAGGAAGTTGTCTCCTGTGCCAATGAGTTCAAGGCCCTTCCCTATTTTTCTTCTAACTGATTTAGAGTATTTGGTTTTATATTGAGGTCCTTGATCCACTTGGACTTTAGTTTTGTGCAGGGTGATAAGTAAGGATCTATTAGAATTTTTCTACATGTAGACATACAGTTAGACCAGCACCGTTTGTTGAAGATGCTCTTTTTTCCTTTGTATGGTTTTGGCATCTTTGTCAAAAATCAGGTGTCCCTAAGAGTGTGGGTTTATTTCTGGGTCTTCTATTCAATTCCAATGATCCACCATTCTGTTTCTATGCCAGTACCATGCAGTTTTTATTACTATTGCTCTGAGTACAGCTTGAGATCACGGACGGAGATACCTCCAGATGATCTGTTGTTGTACAGCATTGTTTTAGCAATTCTGGGTTTTTTGTTTTTCCATCTGAAATTGAGAATTGTTTTTTCAAGGTCTGTAAAGAAGTGTGTTGATATTTTGATGGGAATTGCACTGAATCTGTAGTTTGCTTTTGGCAGGAGGGCTATTTTCACTATGTTAATCCTACTGATCCATGAGCATGGGAGATCTTTCCATCTTCTGATGTCTTCTTCGATTTCTTTCTTCGGAGACTTGAAGCTTTTTAAAAACAGGTCTGAGAGGCTATTTTAAGAAGGAAGCATTGTTTCTGCAGAAACACACCACTAATTTCCATGGAAAATGCTGACTCATGCTCCAAGCATGGATGATGCTACTCTCTGGGGGAGCAGGGACACCACACTGGCTTTTCCATGGGACTCCCTACCTGTTCCAATCTTTAACAAGGGTTTGTCTGGGTATCAAAAAAGTCAGACCGTTTTTGTTGTCTTCTGGGTTCTGGAAGATAAGGGATTTCCCTAAGGCAAAAGGAGGATCCCTTAATTTGTGGACAGCCAGGACAAAATCCCCTGAAGACTATGAGGCAAAATTAAGTAGGGCCAATTTAGGCCATTGTGGCAATGAAGAATTACATGACCTGAATAGAGTGAGAGGTTAAGAAAAATTTCCAGAAAGGCAGAATTACTGGTTGGTAAACAGCTTAGTTCAGACAGACTGACTTCTGATAAGATGTGCCCCTGTCACAGTCTGCTTGCCTAGCTACTGTTGCTGGAAGGATCTTTCCACCTTTAAGATGTGTCACTAGCTCATCTAACCTATTTCTGTAGCTCTTGGTGAGAGCCAATTTAAGCTGGCTTCTCAGTTCGCTCTGCACTCAGAAGAGACTAATTTCCAGTTCCTTTTTGGAGACCATGAGACCAGATGCTGTGACAAATGTTCCAGTGAAATGAACCTAGAAAACGATCCCAGGGTGCTTCTCAGGGGAGGGGGGATTCATCAGCTTTATCTGTGCCTTAAACATCAGTTTCAGCTCGAGTGCTGTCATCTCTTCCTGTGAAGCTTTCTGATGGCACAAGCTTTTGTGACAGAACAGAGGATGTAGGGGGAAGACAGAAGAAAATTCCCAATAGGGCTACAGGACAAATGACAGACCCAGAGGGTGATCATGTTTTTGGGTACGGCTCTATTGCATCTGGCAGCCTGAATTGGGCAGCAGTTCCTGCAAATGAGATGCCACTGCTTTCGTTAGGTAGGTCATTGTACCGTAAGCCCCACTAGGGGCACTGTCATAAAACAAGTGGCAAATTCCTGTGGTTTGGTCTTTTTCCAAGATGTCTGTGGCCCCAAATGACACCTGTAGGCAGGAAAAAAAAATAGGAAAAAAAATGAGTGGAACCTACTTTTTTTTTTCCTTCACAAAGCACCCTGCATGTTGGAGGTGGTCTGTGGGCTACGGGCAGGGCTGGGAGCTGGAGACCAAGCCTCACTGCAGGAAGCCAGGGCCATGAGATGATGGCAGTGAGACACATGCACGGTAATGCATCTGCTCTGAACATTGTGTCTTCACAGACCTCCTTTTGCTGCTAGTCCTGATTCTTTGAGAGGACAGTTCCTTTGCCTCATTCAATTTTGTATACAGGGTAAGCAGTTTCCCAAGAGCCAGGTAGGTAGCAAATGGTAGTGTCGGAATAAAACCCACCCAAACAAAACCCAGATTCCCCAAAGGTGGTTAGATTCCCCAAGTGGCCACTTTGCCATTTCCTAACCAAATGATCAACATCTTTCACCATCTTTGATGACATTTCCCTGGTTTGAGTAGATGCCTCCCAATTAGGCACAATCTTCAACACGAAGAGGGAGAAATGGCAATCAAAGTGACTCCCCCGCCTTCTGCAGTGGGGTGAGTGGGTGGACCAGTCACACTCACCTGGTCCTGCAGGAACAGCTGATTGGCCAGCTGCACAATCTGGTCCACATGGATGATGCCCCCAATACTGCCCATTTCTGTGTCTGAGAGCAGGGTCAGCACCATGATGGCTTCTACCAGCAGCTGCCGATACTCTGGCTGGGACACACGGTTGAGCACTGACTCCACATGGACGGCAAACTTGATCTCACAGGGGGTCATCTACCAAAGAGACCAGCAGGTTGCCAGTGTGAGAGGCGGGACAGACAGAGCCCTGTAATGAATGCTGTCCCTAGCACTGGTGGAGCTCAGCTGGAAGGCCGCCTTCCTCACTGTCTTGATTCTGCAGCAGAAGCCCTCTGAAGGAGAGGCTGACTGTCCCCGTTCCCCCCCCCCCCGAGGGCAAGCTGACCTTGTTCTAGTTCCTTTTGTCTACCCACTGGACTGTGACTTCCAGGGAGCAGGGACCATTTCTTATTTCTTAAGAGAAATTCCCTGTGGCATAAAGCATGATACCTTGGCCGGGGTGAAATAAAAGGAAAACAAAATCTGCTTTGAAGAGGATGTCTGGAAGTGCCAAGTGTGGCACCTCATGCTTAGGAAGGCCAAAGATAGCCCAAGAATGCATGGAGGGCAAATAGACCGAAAGACTGCTTGTAGCTAAAGCAGCCCTGCGTGGGTCTAGCATGTATGGGACAGACTTCAGATGGGTTTTAAGGGGCTTGAGAATTTAAAAATGCTATTGCAGAGGAGAATGAGAGAGAAGGGGTGACAAGCAAGGAAATTTGCACGATTTGAGGGTAAGGCCTGAAAATGGCCTGCTTCCACAGAATAAGCCCAAGAAGCATGGTGGGGGGGGAACTCAGCCATGAGGTGAGCCCATGGATGATATTTTGAGTCTTCTCACTTTACCTCTTGGGTTGTTGAGGATGGTAGGACGTAACCGTCAATGGATAGACCATGGCACTAGAAGCGGAACACAGACATTTCAGACTACAGACGACAAGTATGTGCCTGCTCCCACTCTCAACACACACACACAACACACAACTTTCCTTGCCCTGGAAATCTGCACGAGGGGTTGGAACACGCCAGACTGTTGAGAGCTATTTTTAGAGCGTTGTTCTCACTGCCCACAGGCTGTGTTTTCGATGGAACAATTCTGGGGAAACCAGCAGGCATCTTTCAGATCGGCGCAGTGACCTAGGGAGCTGCTGTGTCCTCCTCATAGGAGGCTCTGCACTGCACTTGGCAACAGGGCCCCGGGGGCCTGCCAAGGCCCTTTTTGGTGCCATAATGGAGATTTTTTTTCCCATTGGTGAAGTGATGCTCCTGTGCCTCTGTCTATTTTTGAGATTTCTATAATAAGCAACCACCACAAAGAGACAGAGCACATGCAAACCCATGTATATAAATACCAGTGCAGGGCAATATATAAATATATACAAAATACCGCTTTTTCATAATATAAGCACCTTGGTGTTAGGCCAGAGGAAGCCTGGCCAGAGTATATAGTGACCCAGGGAGAGGGAGACTGAGGAGACTTTTGAGGACTACCTGGGCCTAGTCTAACCGGCCACCTTTTACCCTCCAGTTGGCAGCAGCTGCCCTGCCTTCATGCTGGCTGGCCCACGGGCTCCCCACAAACGAGTCAAAGGGTGGACCTGGGGCCTCTCTGCAGGCTCAGAGGGCATACCAGTTCGGCCCTCCTACCCAGCTTGGCAGCTGTCTTGAACAAGGCCTTGGTCCATAGAGCACAGCCACTGAAGCTCTGTGACTGGCCCTGGGAACCCGCTGCAGAAAGGAGGCAGTGGGCTCTGACATCACCAAGGAGCTGGAGTATGGTCTTTTTCAGGATTACTGCAGTGCTCTCCTCTCCTACTGTGAAACAAGCTAAAAGGGAATGGTTCAGAGAAAAAGGAAATTTGTCTTGCTTTGCAAAGCTTTTAAATGAGGCATACAATCCTATGGGGGGGAGGAGGCAGGAGGCGCTCTGATGGGGCCTCGGTGTGAATGCTCTGGAGTATGAATGTGGGAGAAGATGGTTTGTGGGATGTAGAGAACAAAGAAGTTCTGCTTCTCAATGCTGGCCCCACTTTAGAAGCAGGTGTTTCAGACAGGCTCTCCTGCATTCAGGTGTGTGTGGTGCACTGAAGCCTGTAGATGTGTCATGTCCATTTTTTTTAAATTGATTTATTTTTTATTTATTACAGTTTATTTACTTGGTATCCCAACTGTAGCCCCCTTCTCATCCCCTCTCAATCCTACCCTCCCTCCCTCTTCTCCACCTATTCCCCTTTCCAAGTCCACTGATAGGGGAGGTCCTCTTCCCCTTCCATCTGACCCTAGCCTATCAGGTCTCATCAGGACTGGCTGCATTGTCTTCCTCTGTGGCCTGGTAAGGCTGTACCCCCCTCAGAGGGAGGTGGTCACAGAGCCTGCCACTGAGTTCAGTCCAGAGACAGTCCCTGTTCCCCTTACTAGGGAACCCACTTGGACACTGATCTGACATAGGCTACATCTGTGCAGGGGTTCTAGGTTATCTCCATGCATGGTCCTCAGTTGGACTATCAGTCTCAGAAAAGACCCCCTGGGTACCCTCCTCCCCTTTTTTGCTGTTCTTGTGGAGCTCCTGTCCTCTCCAGGTCTTACTATCTCCCCCTTCTTTCATAAGATTCCCTGCACTCTGTTCAAAGTTTGGCTATGAGTCTTAGCATCTGCTTTGATACCCTGCTGGGTAGAGTCTTTCAGAGGCTCTCTGTGGTAGGCTCTTGTCCTGTTCCCTGTTTTCTCCCTCTTCTGATGTCCATCCTATTTGCCTTTCTGAATGAGGACTGATCATCTTACCCAGGGTCCTCCTTCGTGCTTAGCTTCCTTATGTATACAGATTTTAGTATGTTTATCCTATATTATATGTCTAATATCCACTTATAAATGAGTATATACCATGTGTGTCTTTCTGCTTCTGGGATACCTCACTCAGGGTGAGCTTTTCTAGATCCCACCATTTGCCTGCAAATTTCATATGATTTCCTTATTTTTAATTGCTGAGTAGTATTTAATTGTGTAAATGTACCACAATTTCTGTATCCACTCCTCAGTTGAGGGACATCTGGGTTGTTTCCAGCTTCTGGCTATTACAAATAAAGCTGCTATGAACATGGTTGAGCAAATGTCATTGCTGTATACTTGAGCATATTTTGGATATATGCCTAGGAGTGGTATAGCTGGATCTTAAGGTAGCATTATTCCTAATTGTCTGAGAAAGCACCAGATTGATTTCCAAAGTGGTTGTACAAGTTTACATTCCCACCAGCAGTGGAGGAGGGTTCCCCTTTCTCCACATCCTCTCCAGCATGTATTACTTGAGTTTTTGATCTTAGCCATTCTGATGGGTATAAGGGTCATTTTGATTTGCATTTACCTGATGACTAAGGACACAGAGCATTTCTTTAAGTGTTTCTCTGCCATTCAATATTCTTCTATTGAGAATTCTCTGTTTAGCTTGGGTTCTCTGTAACCAATTTTTTTCCATTGGGTTACTTGATTTGTTGCTGTTGAACTTTTTAAGTTCTTTATATATACTAGATATTAGCCCTCTGTCAGATATAGGGTTGGTGAAGATGCTTTCCCATTCTGTAGGCTGTAGTTTTGTTCTGATGACAGAGTCCTTTGCTTTACAGAAGCTTTTCAGTTTCATGAGGTCTCATTTATTGATTGTTGATATTAGAGCCTGTACTACTGGTTCAGGAAGTTGTCTCCTGTGCCAGTGAGTTCCAGGCTCTTTCCCACTTTTTCTTCTAACAGATTTAGTGTATCTGGTTCTATGTTGAGGTCTTTGATCCACTTTAAACCATAAAGTCCAATGAAATTTGAACAGACCCTCAGCTGATGGGAAGCACAGACCTATTTTACTGCCACCAGGAGCAGCGAGCAGCTGGCTAAGGGGTGGGGCCTCTAGGATCTCTACCTTCTAACCATGGAAACAAGTGTGTCCCAGGACAGGAGTAAGAGTATGCCTTCAGGGCACATGGCTTCTAGGGCCAGGCTAGAATCCTTTGTTCTTTGCACCTCTGAAGACCTAGCCGGTATTAGGGACCTCATCATGTTGCTAAATGATATGGATACCATGTCTGTCAGCCTCAAGCTAGGAGCTGGCCAATGTAGATCCAGAGTTAGGGCTGCAGGTCCTGTCTGGCAATTTTGTCCAAACTATCTTTAGTATTTTATGATCCTAAACTGTGTCAAAGTTGGGGGCTGCCTCATTTTCTTTGGAGTCTAGGTCTCCTAGTACATCCCCTTACCTTCTGAAGGATCTTCCACACTCTCTGGTAGAATCCCATGGGTACCCTGTTGATTGCCCCATCCAGCCTTCTCCTGCGTAGCCATTGGCCCTGCTGCTCTCCCCAGGCCATGTGCTGTCCTCCGGAGTCTGTAGATGATGTGCCCGTCGGGGAGGATGGGTTACTCGACCTCTGTAAGACAGATACCATATGATCTTCAGAAGCAGGTACCACCAAAGAAAAGCTAGCCATCTTAAAGGCCAGCTCAGCAAATTAGTCAGAATCTCTCTCCACATGTCACCCAGCCAAGGGCACAAGACTCCGTGACTCCACTTTGTCAGGTACTGGAGTTGGATTGAGTTTTTCATGTTCTTTTTTGGTAGCTTAATTCTTCCCAGGCCCTAAGAGGTAGTATAACACCAGGAGACCCTGAGCTCACAGGTACAGGTGTGAGCTCTGCCATTAGGCTGTCACAGTCAAGCTCAAGAGCAGCTACAACAGCATCAGGGGTTGAGGGCTACCTGTGCCCTGTTGCCCCAGCTGATCCTACGTGATGCAGACATAACGGTCTTGGGGGAGCTGTTTGCAGCCACTCACTCTGTGAAGACACAGAACCCTCTGAGAGTCCCTGCCCCCCTGTAATGAATGCACAGGGGGGCAGCTGTCACCCTGAAGGCCACTCTCTAAGAGGCCACTGGCCAGGCATGCAAAGCTACAAGAGTGTTTGGAGGAGCTGTCAGAGAAGGTGAGATGGACAAGAAGGAAGGAGAATCTGGGGTCAGGGCAAATGCCTGAGGGTCTGCTTTACTTGAGCATCATCACGGAGAAGTGCCCATCAGCTACCCAGAGGACAAATACCACAGAGAATGCCATACATATAAAGGGAGAAAGTATCAGGAAGTCAAGAAAGAAAGTCAGCTAGAATTCCTTGCTTAGCAATCAGGTAGCTGGCTTTCAGCCCTCTCCCTATGCTTCTCAAACCTGATTTCTGCTGTCCTGCTCTTCATCTTGAGTTTTCATCTAAGGTAGGCTATGGTGGCCTTCACCTTAGACCTGCTGACCAGGGTTAGAGGGTGATATCTTCTTTGTGTTTCCCTGTGGGAGGCTAGACCTCTCTAGACTCTACAAGACAAGTGCAGCAGGGCTGCTGACCACTCAGGGGGTAGTATGGAGGGACTTCCAACAGGCAGAGATCAGGTGTGGAAGCCCCAATTGCCTTGGATGGATTCCTCAGGCTGGGACAAGGCTAACACACATCTTTATGTACATCTTTGTTTGGACTATTCGGCACTTGCATTTCACAACAGGCAACATCAAATGGAAAGGTTTAAAAATAAAATCCAAATATTAAGCACACCAGAAGGGCAGGAGGTGGGATTCTTCTCTCAGAACTCATTTTGACTTCAACAGATCTTATTTTGAAAAGGCAGTTAGGCTGTGTTATTCTGCTGGGCTCATTACTGCCATTTAAAGAAGGCAACAATTACCTGCAAATAAAAGTAATTACAGCCACACTCATCAGTGACTCAGCTGGTTTTCTCCTCCTGGTTTTGGGAGGCAGATTCAGACTTGTCTCTGCAATCAGAACATTCCCTGGGCCTCCACTTGAGCTAGGGGCACATCCTCCGTTGGGGCAGGAAAGTAGAAAGTGGTGGCCAGCCTGGGGGTTGCGGGGGCAGTAGCTCAACACTCAATAAAAAGGCACCTGGGCTGGGAGGCGGAGTGTGTGGGGGGTGCTTAGTGGTGGAGTGCCTATCTAGTCAGATCTGAGACCCTCCCTCAGCACTGTAAAACAAACAAACAAACAAACAAACAACAACCACCACAACAAAACAGGCATAGAACCAGCGTTTTGAAGACTCTAGAAATTCCTGGGAGTTGGTAAGGTGAACACGCCTCATCCACACAGTATTGAGGAGTCTGACAAGCCAAGATCTGAGAGCATAAGATGGAAAATAAAGTTAAGTTCAAGATTATCTAAACTTTTTTAGAATTTTTCTCAAACTTATAGTTGGAAAATACCTCCAGCATCAACTGAAAACCCTTAACCCAGTGGTTCTCAATCTTCCTAATGCTGCAACCCTTTAATATAGTTCCTCATGTTGTGGTGACCCCAACTATAAAGTTCTTTTCCTTGTTACTTCGTGAATGTAATTTTGATACTATTATGAATCATAATGCAAATATCTGATACATGTGGATGGTTGTAGGCAACTCCCATGAAAGGGGCAGTTGACCCGTAAAGGGATCACGACACACAAGTTGAGAACCACTGCTTTAACCTTACTGAAACCATCAGAAGTCAGGCATGAGGGCTATGGTGAAGCTCAGGGCTGGAATGTTTGCTTAAAAGGTGTGAGGCCCTTGGTTTCATGTCCAAGACTGCTACACACACCACCACCACCCTAAACAGAAGTGGGAACACAGGTAAGGCCACAAGCAAACTCGACCAGTACAGACAGGGCGGAGGACACAGGGAGGGGTGAGACGACAATGCAGATTTACCGCAGACTTGAAGGAATGCAAACTGTTGGACACAGCCTGGCCCACAGGAAAGAACTACAAAACAAAAAGAATCGACTCAGTCATGTGTGGTGTCACCGAGGGACGCCAGGGCTTGTGGAGGAACACAGAGCAGCACGAAAAGCACAGATGCTGGAGGCAGAGGCCAGGCCTAGAGAGGTTCTCATTGAGCAGCAGCAGCAGATGCCAGCCCCCGAGCTCCTCTGCAGCCCAGCCTGGCGTTAGAAGGCAAGTGGTGCCAGGTTCTTTTGCATTGTGGAGCAGGCTTTAATCAAACTGGGAAGCACGTTCTGAAGTCACAGCCAAGCCATGTGAACGGTTAATGTTGAGCCATAAACATCCAGAGATCAGAATATGTCTACCTTTAGCCATGAACACCTAGCATCTAACAGGCATCCCACTGATTATTGTTAAATGTACATGGGAACCAGGCAGATGACCTTTAACCATATACATCTTTCCTCATCTGAGAATCTAGATGGTACCCTTGGTTTGCTTCTCGGTCTGTGTCTGTGGTATGCTTGGAAAAATGAGCAGCAGCTTATAACACCATGACACCTGTTCATTTTTGACCAGAAAGTGTTTTCTTGACATGAGCAGCCAGGCACAACACTGGTGCTGGATGACTAAAATATAAACACAACATAAAAGGAAAGGAAGGGCAAGGGCAAGGGCAAGGGCAACACTGAATGGAAGAAGCCATCCATGTTCATCCTGGAGCAGGCCTTTGAGCTATGGGTAACCAGAGGGACGCTGCCACCAAGTGGCTGACAAAGGAAAGTGTTTGGAAAATCACTTCCTTAGAAGGAGAAGCATAAATGAAACTCCATATAGTCTGCACTCTAACAAACACGCACTGTGCATTACGTGCCTTCACCCGTTTACTCTCTCCTGGTCACAGAGACATCAAATCATTGCAAATATGACTCCGAAGCCAAAGGGAAGGAGTATATCAGGGGATGATGTACTGACATTTTTTTTTTTTTCTTTTCAGGGTTAAATCCCCCCAGGTTGGCTGAGGGCAGGATCTGGTAGCACTGCCTTATTCTTTTTATTGATGACATCACTGACCATATTGCTCTCTTTTAGCTTCCTTCCTCTTTTTAAACAGAAATGCTGATGGAGGCAGAGCCTGGACCATCTCACAAAGAATCCTAACAAAGGCTGAGTTGAACACAGGGAATTCTTTTGCTCACTTCCAAGCTCTAACAAAATGAACTAACTGGCCACCCTGAAAGGATACTCTAAAGGCCCAGGGCAAGGTCATCTCTCCTGCCTTCTCATTTGGATCTCTGTCTCTGGGGCTGTGCTGCCTGAATTACTGTGCCATTCTACCACATACCCACACCCACATTCTTTATCTGCAGCCTCACTTTCCGTGTTCAAGCCAGAAAGAGCGTGCAGCTAATGTAGAGAAAGACAAACAAAGCGAGACATTTCACCTGCTCATCAGCACTAGCTCGCCTAGTCATCTGAAAGTAAAAACAAAAACAAAAACATCAGAGAGTAAACATGCACTTGAGCTGCTTCCGTCAAACTCCGGGAAGCCTGAGCATGCTGGTCCTACCTCAGGGGCTTGCCACTCCTCCCTGACACACCTAAGCAAGCGAGGCAGCATGACTGGTGTGGGACCAGGTTTTCTCATGGTTAGGGCCTGGTCCTGTCCTAGCACAGTCTCAGGCACATCAGGACCGAAAGGGTGTCGAGCTGCCGACCTGGGAGGGTGAGCTCACAAGGATCTACTGTGAGTGAAATTAAGGTGAGCAACGAAAAGACACAACTGTGGATGCTAGGAAATACAGGTAGCATAATCACTCCCGCCTGCTTCCACACCCCCTATTTCAGATGGAGAACACGTCTGATAAAGAAATGGGTGTCTCTTTTGACATTATTCTGCTTTTAAAAAAAAATTACTTTTTATTTTACAGTACGAACATTTTTGGTCATGTGTACTATGGGTATCCCTTGCGTGCCTGGTGCCTGCAGAGGCCAGAGGGGGGTGTCAGATCCCCTGGAACTAGAGTCATAGAGAGCTAGTTAAAAGCTGTCATGTTGGTGCTGGGAACTGAACCCAGTCCTCTCCAAAAGCAGCCGGGGCTTTTAACTCTGATCCAGATGTCTAGCTCCACGACTCTACTTTTTTAGATGATACAGAAACAGATACAGACAAGGAAATATTCCAGGATGTACATGGAACATCACACTAAGGCTAGACATTGGTGAGTTTGGGTGCCTGCTAATGGCTTTGGGGTACCTACCTGGGATACAGGGCCGTGTGCAGATCCAACAATTTCTACAGAGAGCAGGCCTAAGCTTCATGCCCTTGTCTTTCTGAGGTGAGCCCTGGCAGCAGAACCATTGATAACCCTCCATTGTGGCCGCCGTGCTTAGGTCTCCTTACCTGTTTCATCTCACTCCTCAGTCTGGTAATGCCGCTCCTCTCAGTCTTGGTGACTCCGGTATGACCCATCTCATGGATGGAGATGGCAGGGCTGGATGTGGAAGAGTGAATTGGGCGCACTTAAAGAAAAACACACACATGTGGGTTTTAGGGAATCTATTGCACCTGCCTGGAGAGAGGCAACACGGGTAACATATTTCTGAGGTTTGCATCTCTTCTCTACTTGATTATAAACTTGATGAGAGAAAGACCTTTCTTGTCCCAGCCAGGCTTGGGCTTGCAGTGCTGAAGGTAGCATAGGCTCACCACATGAGGCCTGAAGGTCTGTGTGAAAGTGTGGGTACTACTATATTTTTAATACATTTTTATTTTTATATATTAATTACAGTTTATTCACTCTGTATCCTAGCTGTAGCCCCCTCCCTCATTCCCTCCCCATCCCACCCTTCCTCCCTCATCTCCTCCCATGCCCCTCTTCAAGTGTGTGGGTATAACTGAAGCAGCAGGTACAGGCGAGAGTGGTAGAAAAATGTTGGCTGACAGAATTGGTTTTGAAAACTACACACACACACACACACACACACACACACACACACACACACACATTTAGTTATATAAAACACATTTTCTCTGTGGAAAACTGAGACCACCTAAGGAAGCCAGAAGTAACATCTGTCGACATCATCCTGCCAGTTTTCCCCTAAGAATAGATTATATTTTTACCTTATACAACAACATCACATATATGTCCAAAGATGAACTCTATATTACACACATGACATGCCTATACATGATATGTAAATATGTTTAGCTGCTTCTGAACATTCCGTGAATGTTTTTTTTTTTTTTTTCCCACGGCTTTCCATATTGTCTCACATGTTTACTCACTGCATGCCATTTGAGCTCAGAACGAGGAACATCCAATTCTGTCTGTGATTTTTCTACAGGGTTCATCTTGACTAAGGAGTAGGATCCACGCTGACCTTGCCAAGCTCTCTAATGCCCACTGTTCCCAGGGGAATGACAAAAATGCTGCACACTCTAGCGAAGGGCTTAGAACTTAGGTAGCCGTGGCTATGAGCCAACTGCTGAGGCATCCTCATCAGGGCCTTGTCTGAATATGGGTGTGGGGGCACATGTACAGTAGCATCCAGGGCAGGGAGAAGATCCCCACCCAGGCCTTTGGGAGGAAGCAGGGTTGGAGCTGGCTCGAGAGCTCAGGGGTGCTATGGAAACTGTTGCCACAGCCAGGCACATAGTGCTGCTATGGAACAGGGGCAAGAAGGCTCTTCCAACTGCTCCACACCATATCTCCTCCCATCATATACCATCAACCTCAGGACTTACCACCTGTCCCTGCCCCTGCTCCCTATGTGTATGGGCTCTAAGATAATGGTCAGAAGGGATTATCCTAAAGGGCAAATGTGATCCTATCACTGCTAACTTGGAATTCTTCTTGGTCTAAATCTGTCTGCTGGATAAAACCTAAACAATCTTTCTGTTGACATAGGAAGCCCTCCTAATGGGTGCTCGATATGGGTGTATGTACACATTATCCTCCTATTTCACTGTTCCTTTGGTAGGCAATGTTTCTTTTTTTAATTATTATTTTTTATATTAACTACTTTATTCACTTTATATCACAGCTGTAGCTCCCTCCCTCATCCCCTTCCAATCCCACCCTCCCTCCCTCATCTCCTCCCAAGCCCCTCTCCAAGTCCACTGATGGGGAGGACCTCCTCCCCTTCTATCTGACCCTAGCTTATCAGGTCTCATCAGAACTGGCTGCATTGTCCTCCTCTGTGGCCTGGCAATGCTGGTGCCCCCTAAGGGGAGGTGATCAAAGAGGCAGCCACTGAGTTCATGTCAGAGACAGTCCCTGTTCCCCTTACTAAGGAACCCACTTGGAGACTGAGCTGCCATTTCTAGGTTATGTCCATGAATGGTCCTTGGTTGAAGTATCAGCCTCAGAAAAGACCCCTGGTAGGTAATGTTTCTATAGAACATTGCTGAAGCCAGGAAGGTTGGCAGGAGGGGCAGTTGAATGGGGAAAAGCCACCAAGGAGATCCAATGAAGGGGCAAGGGAGAAGTGGCACTGAAGGGATGGAAAATAAGCCAAACAGGGTATGGAAAGCCCCATGACACTGTCTTAGGGGGAAAGTGTTTGTTGGAAATAGCAGTTCTGGGATTTAGTCAGAATTTTAAGCCTACTAACTAGCTTCCAAGCTTATAAAAACAGAACAATTACAAGACAATGAAGAAATGCTGTTTGAAAAAGATAATACATCTTCTGTCCTTGCTCATGATTAGACATGTAACGCTGTTCAAATGACATTCCTCAGTTCTTGGTTTTGTAAGCATCTATATAGCTTTACATTTGTTGACAACTATCTGTCAAACCATGTACACTATTATGATGAGCAGAACACCTTAAATATTTATCTTTTCTATTTGCATTTCAAGGACTGTGTACATGAAATAACTCTAATTTACTTTTCGGTAGGGATTGTGAGCACTGCTCCTCAGAAAGCAGAAAACCACAAATAGACAGCTGATTGCCCCATGTGGCTTTGTCTGCGCCTGGCACACACTCAGGAAAAATACAAAGTACCCAATGTCCTTCTTATTAAATAAAAGGAATGATAGCCCACAGTGTGTTTCGTTGGCTTGATGAAATAAATTCACCAATGTGTCTGAGAATCATTTAGCTTTTTTTATGAGGAGGAGAAATGATAATTGCTTCAATTATAATTAGGGAACATTTGGGAACAAGAATCACACCAGGACTTGGGTGATGAGATTTCTTAGCACCATGAGCAGATTTCTAAGACAGATAAAAACTAAGTTGAGTAACGCTGGGATGAAGTGAGGGAACTGGCCCACACAGGTCATACCCCTGTAACCTGCAAAGAAATGCAACCCCGTGAGGATGCTCCTTGTCCCTCAAAGCAAGAACCTTGAGCCCGTGCCTCAGGTTCACCCCAACGAAAGAGGAAAACCTGTGATCCCTTCCTTAGAGGGGAACTGCTGACACTGGTGCTGACCTGCATCTGGCTCCCCCAGGAAGCACTCACTGCACTGACTCACCGCTTCTCTCCACACCAAACTCCTTCCCACTCAGGATGTGATGCAGGAGGTTCTTCATGTCAAAGGGGCTGAGGTTCATCAAACTCTCGGAAGCTTCTTCTCCTGCAAACAAAGATCTTATAAGAGATCCAGACACGGGCTGGTGGCGGGTGGCTAGGGTTGGGAGAGGACAATGTAAAAGGCAATAGCAGGTGTCCTTGCTCGGGATTCCTTCACTGGTGCTTCAGGTCTAAAAGACAATGGCCCTTGCGGAATGCAAATACCTCTGTTGAGGTCAGTCCAGGCAAATTTAATTCCTAGACATAGAATTTTTCACATCGTACTGTTCCCTGCTGTTGGAATGTGCTTTGCATGATGTTTGCATTTCTCTCAGTGATGGTATTATTAAGTGGAAGGAGACATCTTAGGGTGAGGATATCACTGGAGCTTTGCTGTCAGGTACAGCAAAGTTTCTCATGAAAACATGGCTGCTGCTTTGCCTGCCCCACTGAGGAACACTGTCCTATGTGGCCTGACAGAAAGGAACTTTACTTCTCACAAAGGAACCTGGGAGAGCCTAAGCTCACCCAGAGTAGAAGCCTATTCGGAAGTGCTTGAGTGTGCCTCCCTGAACACAGAGGCCTTGTGGTAGGGCTGATATGGCGGACGTGGCAAGCCATGGCCTCTTACCTGAGCAGTTCAGGCTCCGAGCCAGCTCTGTGGCCATTACCTGGATGATCAATCCAATCCGGAGTCTGAGCATCTCTACAAAGAGGCTAGGCTGGGCCCGGACATACATAGCCAGGTAAACCACGATCTCCTGGTGCAGATACACATGGGAACAGGGCTTCAGGAAATCTGAGGAGCCTACCTGCACTCTGAGGAAGGCCGTGGCCTAGCTTGCCCCTCCCGTATCAGCACCTAACCTGTGTGAGGACAGCAATGCTGATGTCCTGTCCACTGGCTTCATAGATGAGTTTTGTGAGCTCTTCTGGGGGAAGAGGCCTAGGAAAGAGCAGTCAGGTAACACCAATGAGTACCTCAGAACAGGGCCTCCTTGCTCTCAGTGAAAGTTCCCTGCTTTCCACACTACAAGCACCCACATGACAGAGTGTCTTCCCAAAGCTACTGCCACCCTTCCCCAATGGTGCAATGCTCTCTCAGTGCTCCTCTACAGACTAGAGGGTATCCAGCAGGGACTTACGTGGAGATAGTCTTCTCCCGTGGCTCAGGGGGCAGGCCTACTGTAAGCTGCTTCTGGTGGGACAGCAGATCTGCACAGGCCTGTGGGGGGAGGCATACAAAAGAAAATAAATGAAGCAAAGCTAACTGAGAAGGTTAAGTGCCAAGAGCACCAGAAATTTTCCTTTATGAACTTCATAATCCATCCACATTACCCTTCTGAGAAATTCGAACCTAGAACGTAGGCTGAGCAACCCATATAGCACTGGATCCCTGTGATCTTTCTATCTCCCAGGTATGGCCCCTGGCCTGACCTACCCATCCACTATAGCGTAAACTCCCTGGACTCCCTACTGTATTCAGAAAAGGCAGGATGAGGCCTCAGATAGGAAATGTTCGAATTACTAGGCACACTGTGTTCCCAGCTTATGGACTCCTCAGCACTCACATGTAGCAATGACTAGCACATTACCAGAACATTTGCTTAAAGGCACAGGAAGTGCTTCTGGGTTTTGTAGGGCCTCAGGGATACATACATACATACATACATACATACATACATACATACATACATACATATGTGTTAATAATCTCTGTATGGTGACATGGAAATAAGTGCTTTGTTGCATGTGATTACTTCATAAAACTTTCTGTAGTTAAGAAAGAATTAAAAGAATTAAATTGTTTTGAGAATTTCTTCATTTCTCCTCTCTGTCCTGAACCACAAAGAGTCAGGAGAGGACCTGCTAAATTCTAGGTTAAGTTCCCCAAGTCCCTTTATCGGTAAGAGGCCCTTGCCTTGAGCTGCCATAACTAGAAGATTGGAAGAAGAAAGCATGGTACTAGAGAGAGCAAACGGGCAGGCATGCTTATTCTGACCTCAGCCAGGACCTCTACTTTCTTCCTGAGCAGGCCTGAAATGTAGCGAATCAAACTCCATTCTTGGTTTAGGCCAGCTTTTCCATAGAGTTCGCTGAGAAGACAGTGAACAGTGACTCCATGCTGTCCAAACAGATTGGTATCCCAGCTGGGACCCCTGGCAAGAGGCAGAAAAATACAAAGATAAAGGTTAGAATGTCAAGGCTAGCTGAGGCATGGATGGATGTGCATTTTGCCAGGTGTTTGGACATTCCTAGTCACTCTGGGCCTCTCCAAGTGGATCCAGTCCAACCGAACATGACTACACCATGTCTTCTGAAACAAAAGCCTAGTGTTCACACATCACTATGGTATTCTGGCCTTGCCCAGACTTTTCATGGAAGACCAGCATCAAGAGGCCAAGAAAGGGATAGAACTCTCATGTGTAGTGATCCTGGGTAATTTGAGTGAATATGAACATGGCCCGGCACTGCTGGAATGCCAGGAGACCAGGAGAAACAATTATAGAGAACTATGTTCAACATGGCGAAGACCATAACCTCACTGCTATGGCTTGAACACTTGTGTCCCTTCAAATCCCTGCACTAAAATCCTAACCCCAGAGTGATGTATTGGGAGATGGAGCTTTGGAAAGCTCCCAGGCCATGAAGTAAGAACTCTCAGAATACATCAGATAGTACCGTTACATGAGAGGCTCCAGAGAGCTTTTACCTCCCTTTTACAAAATGCCCGATAGGTTCATCCTATCGGTACCATCCATGAGGAAGTAGGCCATCACCAGACACTGTTATCTTGGATTACCAGCTTCTAAAACTGAAAGACACACTTCAGTTCTTTAGGCCAGCTGATGATGTGTTGTTATAACAGCCCAAAGAGATTAAGGTACTTACTTTATTACATAAAGGATGTACAGAATGTCTGCTTGGTCCTGTAGGTTTGAGCAGTCTTTCAGTTGCCCAACTAGTTTCTCACAGTCCATTTCACCACAGTCATCTCTGGGCCACTGGTAGTCATATTCAGGAGTCTGGCCACATAAAAATCAAAAAGCAAGGGAAGGGGTTGAAAATGCGAGCATAAAGTGAAACACCAGCTTTCTTTCTGAATGTTAGCACTATGCTAGGCTTCATGGTTTCAGGAAGTCTTTTGCACTATATCAGTTATGCACTTGTACCATATTTGATAGTGACCTATGTCGGCCACCATTCGCAAGGAACTAGAGAGAACAGGTTAAAACATACCTAAGTTTTATTTATTCAAAGTTCAGAAATAGACAAAGCCAACTTCTGCTGCGACAAGTCATGGCAGCAGTGTCCCTCCTCACCATATACTGGGAATGGAATCTAGGGCCTTGCAAGAAGTCTCCTAATGAGCCACACTCCCAGGCCCTAGCAGTTATCTTTGGACTATGAGGTGTGGCTCACTAGTAGGAGGCACAGAACGTGACCAAAGACAAATGGATATTGACTCAGTGATAAGTAATTGAACTCATAAGCCTGTCTATATGTTATACTTTAATAAAATATTTGTTCATTTTCTTGGAAAAGGTCTTATCATGCAGCCCAGGTTTCCCTAGAACTTGCTATGTAACTCAAGTTGACAGAAAATTTGTAATCTTTCCTCCTCTTCCTCCATGGTTTTGGAATTACAATCTTGTGCTATCACACCCAGCTTTCAGTGACACACCTTTTAAAATGCAAAACAACATAAAAGTGCACATTTAAAATTACCTAAAAATATAATTAGATTAAAATGTTCTCCAATTAACATTTGGATATTTTGATTCATATGGGATAAATCAGAGATGTCTAAATAAAATAGTAAAAATAAGATGAACACCTAAGATTTTACGTCTTGAGGAATCTCATTATATTAAGAGTATGGAGAAGCCAGGAATAGTGGTACATGTATATTTTATGTTTTTACCTCAAAAGGTCTTTATTTTTTTTTTAATTTTCTTATTCATTTTGTATCCCAGCTATATCCACCTCCCTTGTCTCCTCCCCATGCCACCCTCCCTCTCTCATCTCCTCCCATATCCTTCTCCAAGTCCACTGATAGGAGAGGTTCTCCTTCCCTTCTCTCTGACCCTAGCCTATCAGGTCTCATCAGGAGTGGCTGCATTGCCTTCCTCTGTGGCCTGGTAAAGCTGACTCGCCCCTCAGGGGGAGGTGGTCAAAGAGCCAGCCACTGAGTTCATGTCAGAGACAGTCCCTGTTTCCATTACTAGGGAACCCACTTGGACACTGAACTGCCATGGGCTACATCTGTGCAGGGGTTCTAGTTTATCTCCATGAATGGTCCTTGGTTGGAGTATCAGTCTCAGAAAAGACCCCTGGGTCCAGATTTTTTTTTGTTCTGTTGCTCTCCTTGTGGAGTTCCTGTCCTCTCCAGGTCTTACTATCTTCCCCTTTTTCCATAAGATTCCCTGCACTCTGCCCAAAGTTTGGCTATGAGTCTCAGCATCCGCTTTGATCCCCTGCAGGGTAGAGTCTTTCAGAGGCCCTCTGTGGTGTACATGTTTATAATAAACACTTGGCAGGCCCATGCAGGAGGACTGTGACTTCAAGGTCAGACTGGGCCAAAAACAGACCCTGTCTTAAAAACCACACCAAAGAGTATGAGTAATAAGTTCTATGCTCTGTTTTGAGCTCTGGCTGGCTCAGGTGTGTATTAAGTATATTCCTTCTATCACTGCTGTGTTCTGATGACCAGGTAGATAGGCAATAAGAGACAGTTTGCTCCAGGCAAAACCTGAAGGTATATACCAGACTCAAATTATGCAATGGTGCAAACTGAATTCCAGATAACTAAGTGCTAGATTCACATCAACATCTAGAGCGTCTACACTTGAAACTCTGGGATATATATATATATACATATATATATACATATATATATATATATGTATGTATATATATATGCTCTTTAAGCCCTACCATTTGAGATAGTTCTTGGGACTAACTATTATCAAGTGTTACATTTAAAACGACAACAACAAACTACCCCAAATACTTTACCTTTTTTAGGAGTGGCTGAGGGGAGTCAACAAGATTCAGTGATTTACGGTGTCCACTTAGAACTTTAGTTGGCAAAGTCATGGGGAAAACTGGAAAAGAAAAGAATTAAGAAAGCTATTGTGAGGAAGAAAAAATAATAAAGCCCTTCTTTTGGTAGGTATGGGCATTTTAGAATGGCAAACAGATTTTAAAAATAGATGATGCCTGACTCCACTCCTACTCCTCTCTTTTGTTTTCCAGGTAGGGAAACTGAGATCTAGAGAAGCTAGAACATTTGTCCAAGGGCACAGGATTTCATGATCAAGGTGTCTGGGTTTCCTGCCCAGTTTCACTCTAGCATTGTTGGTTGTTACGGATTTTACTTTTCACCATCTTTGGATGCTATTATTATCTGTAGTCATTCAGTATGATGCTTCTGTCTTCCAGGACATATCACATTTTAGAAAACCCAGAAGTAGCTCGTGTACATTTTATGTGTGCATACATGTGTGTATAAGACAGGGTCTAGCGCTGAGTGTCTTCCTCTATTACTTTCTACTTTATTTTTTGAACAGGATCTCTTCAGTGAACCTGGAGTTCACCCATTTAGCTCCAGGAAGTTGCCTCCTGCCCCACCCCCAACTCCTGCTGCACAGCTGCAGTGCTGGAATTATGGTTGTACATTGTTATGTCTGGATTTTACATGGGTGCAAGGCAATATAAACTCAGATTCTCATGCTTGTTCAGCAAACCCTTTATCCACTGAGCCATCTCTCTATCTTCCTCACTAATTCATATTTAAAAGGGATTTATAAAGTAAGTTAAAGTGGTTCACATCTGGAATGTCAGGACTCTACAGGAGGACTAGAAGTTCAAAGTCAGCTTAGACTATATAACTGAGTTCATGGCTAGCCTGAACCACAGAACAAAATAATGTCACCAAAAACCAAAGCCAAAACCACAAAAGCACCTAACTAAACCCAAACAAAAACACAAATCCTCAAAACCAGGTAAAAAAAGGAAAGAAGATAATAGCAACATTTTCAGAAATACGAAAGATAAAGGTTGAAAGATGAGTGATTTAGAAGAGACAGGGCCAGAAAACTCCAATAATAAAATGGGAGAATCAATTAACCAGTCAGGCTTGCCTTAAGAGAATGCTCAGGTGCCTCTAGTTGAGACTCCCAGTAACAGGGGTCATGGAGACTGAAGAGGTCACCTAACTAGACAGGACTCCTAGTGAAGGGAGGAGAATATCAACCCACCCACAAAAACTTCGACCCAAAATTTATCTTACCTACAAGATGTACAGGGACAAAAATAAAGCAAGGATTGAGAGAATGTCCAACTAATGCCTGGCCCAACCTGAGACCCACCCAATGGGAGAGGCAATCCTTGACACTAATGATACTCTGCTATGCTCGCAAATGGGAGCCTAGTATAGCTGTCCTGTGTGGCTCCACCCAGTACCTGATGGAAACAGATGCAGAGATCCATAGTGAAACATTGTGTGGAGTGCAGGGAGCCTTGTAGAAGAGTTGCGAGGAGGAGGACCCAGAGAGGACATGTGTACTACAAGAAGACCAACAGAGCCAAACAACCAGGGCCCAGAGGGACTTGTGGAGACTGAATCACCAAGGACTATGCATGGGCTGGGCCTAAGGCCCCTCTTCACAGATGTAACTAATGGGCAGCTTGGTCCTCATATGGGTCACCTAGTAAGGGGAGTGAGAGCCTGTTCTGACATGGACTATGATACCTGCTCTTTGATCACTTCCCCTTGTGGGGCTGCCTTTCCAGGCCACAAGGGAAGAGGATAAGCTCAGTCCTGATGCAATTCTACATGCTGGGGTGAGTGAGAGTGTAGGGTGCTCCCTTTTTCAGAAGAGTAGAGGAGTAGGGATAGGGGGAACAAGGAGGGAGGGTAGGACTGGGAGGAAAAGAGGGAAGGGTTTATGTCTGAGATATAAAGTGAATAAACAAAAATAAAAAAAAAAAAAAACCTAAAAGGCAGAGAAAAAGAATCCTCAGAAGTCTCAGGAATTTGCTGTCCTGGGTACTTCTGGAACTGGTGAGGGGCTCAAGGGGACAAAACTAAAGAAGACTGAAGAGACAGTGTGTGAGATGCAGTGAGCTCCCTAGAAGCTCTCCTCTTCTGCACACAGCATGGTGCCTGCCTCCTTCAGGAGGGCAGGAAACTAGAGGACTCTCTGAAAAGAGTCAAAGAAGGAGGATGTCTAGGCACAGATTGGTTAACACATCTGAAGGCCTGTCCTCCAGCCCCCTGGGCCTGGGCCTCACCTGGCCTTTGCCTTGGCTGCAAGCAGAACAGGCATGGGCTTCTGCCTGCACCTCTGTCTCAAAGGATAGAAGTAAACACATACTATTTTAGAAATATGGAGGAGCTGGGTGTGGTGTAATCCCAGCAGTCAGGGAGGCAGAGGCAGGTGGATCTCTGTGAGTTTGAGGCCAGCCTGATCTACACAGGGAGTCCAGAACAGCCAAGGCTACACAGAGAAACCCTGTTTTGAAGGGAAACAAAAAAAGAAATCTGGAGAAGAAACATGTAGAAGAGCTGAATGGGGGTATATCTAAGTTGAGCCTATCTTGTCTTTTGGGATTGACTTCAATTATACTCACACATTACTCTCATCAAAGAATATATCTTAACAGACAGAAGAGCTTAATAACATACATGGAGTTCCCAAACCCTTCGCTTTGGCCATCACAGAAAGGATGTCCCGAGTGGAGTGGATAGCACTGAATACGTGGCTGTCTTCCGACTTCTTACAAAGAGGAGGCAGGTAGCACTTCAAGGATGTGCTCTGAAGAAGGTGGTCGATATACTGGTCAAGTTCATCTTGGCTTTCTACAGTTAGAGAGCCAAGGAAAAGAATCAATGAAAACGCACCATGGAGTAGACAACATTTAGCACTATCTATTTGCATCTTTACTCACACACCAAGAGAATCAAGTTAGTGACACGTATGTCATATGCGTGTACAAATTTACTGTTTGAAAAAAATCTTCATGCTAGGCCAAGGAAATCCAGAATGAGATCGTGTTTAAGTCACATCATCCCGAGATGAGCTGCAGAATATGAAAACAACAGAAAGAACAGTACCCGACACCCTGTCTTTTAATTCATGAGCTAAGCTTCATGGAGCTTTCTGCACCAATTACAAATATTATCTAAAAGTAAAAACAGGTCACTTTGACCCAAAACCATGTTCAGATTAACACATGTTATATACACATGGGGTTTCACCACTCACATCTAATCAAAACTAGGCCATTTCACCATTCCTTTCAAAAGTCAAACAATGTGTTTCTCCTTTAACAATGTATTTTGTCAGGGCTTGGGGGTTCAGCTCAGCAGTATAACATGCATGAAGCATTGGGTTAACTTTCAGGTCAGGATTGACTTTTAAATAGCTACGAAAACCCCTGTAAAGAAGCACCAGGAGCAGCTGGTGCAAATGAACTCACAGAGGTCTGAGGGGCAAGTGGACCATCTTAAAAAGAAGTAAAACAAAAAGAGGACTGGTGAGATGGCTCAGCGGGCAATGGTGCCTACGGCCAAACTTACCAACAACAGTTCAATACTCAGAATCCACATGGTGGAAGGAGAGAAACAGCTCCTAAAAGCTCTCCTCTGACCTCTACATATATGTTATATATGCCATGGTGTAACACACACACACACACACACACACACACACACACACACACACACACACACACACACAGAGAGAGAGAGAGAGAGAGAGAGAGAGAGGATAAATAAATGGATAATATTTTAAAAAGCAACTTATGAATAGTCCTATGCTTGAGACTTTTCCTACTGGACTTATGAAGCCCTGTTTTCAAAGGCACCAGTGTAATTTAGGTTCTCAAACCAGCCCCTTATTCATTTTAGTGAACAGAATCTTTAGAAGCCTTGTTTCTGTTCTTTTGCTTTTAAGCTTACCTGTCGATTGTTTTGCATTTGGGTCTTAGGGAAGTTTATCATAGTACCAAGGTTTAAACAAATTCAACCACCAATTCACAGACACTTGTTTGCCACAATGTACCTTGGTGACTGCTATCTTCCAAGTATCCTCCCAGGTCTGACTCGCTGTCAGGACTAAAGTTCCTATCACTGGTGTCATCAAACAACTTCTCATCGCAGTCCGGATCCAGGAAGGTCAGGTATGTGTAGAATGAAGTGGTGAGGAACTCTGCCAGGTTCCCCAGTTTTACTCTGTCATGAAGGGACTACGTTAGAGATACAGGTGGAGTGCAGACAGACTACTATGAAACTCTTCAACAGAGAGGTAGCACTTCTTCAGGAGTCAAAAATGTATATTGGCCCTATACAAGCCAAGAAATTCAATCGCAAAGTTGGGCATGGGAGCAACGTCTATAATCCAAGCACTTGGGAAGTAGGAGCAGGAGTACCAGAAGGTTGGGGAGGTAAAAGTAGATTAATTTTGATTTCCTTTTTACTCTAAAACCATGTGTGTTTGGGTCTAGAAATTGATGCAAAAGGTGGGAAAAGGACAGCTAAAGACTTTCAGAAATGTCAATGTTATTCTTAGTAAGTGAAAAGAAATCCCAATGTACCTAGCACCTCCAAAATATCCATCTTCCAGTTTTCTAATTGTAGAAAGAACTGCAGGATGAATGTCAGTTCCATCACTTGCTACGGAAAAAAAAAAAATGACGAATGAGTTTTCTTCATCTGAAATAGTCTCACTAGCACCAACCCAATCAAAACCCTTATGGTATGAAATATTCCCTACACAAAGAAGTCAAACTGCTAAGGATCCCTTTTAGCATTTGGCACAGTCCACAGAAACTGTCCTAAACACTTAGATAAGAGCCCATGACCCAGAAGATGAAATTCATGGAATTACTGAGCATGGTGTGTGTGACAGGGAAGGTGAGTGTGGGGCGGCCAGTCATCCGCCAGCAGGTGCACAGATAAGCCAGCTCGATCCTCAGCATCTCCACAATCATCTCGTTGTCCAAGGCCAGGTAGAAATGATGCTGGTCAGTGAACTGAAAGTTAGAACGAGCCAAGTCAGGGGTCACCCTTTACTTTCTCCCACACAGCACCTACCACTCAAGGCAAGCACTAATCCTGAACCTGATGTCGGGGAAGGGTTTCAGTATTGCCTCAGTCTTCTGTCCAGAAGGTCAATTTTCCCGGGATGAGACTATAACAATCTGTCACCTGCCTGGGAGTTGTAGCTACACTGGTATGAAAGGAAAGGTTTGTCAACAGACCTGTCTTCCTCCCATGGGGGATATAGGCACCTTGTTGACCACACAAAACAAATCAAGAGGCTGTATTTGCTACTCCTTCTGGGACCTGGGTTAGCAAACACTTCCCAGGTGAGGGGGAACTGGGAACTGCTCATCTAACTGATGCCTGCTTAACGCCAGTTAAAGGTACTGCTGCATAACAATGAAAGTCCAATTGTTCTCCAGACCTCTGTGCTAGTGTTTGCTCGGCTCTGCTTCTGGAATTTGCTCCTAAGAAAAAGAGTTTGCAAAATTCAAAAGTGGCAGCTACTGAGGCAAGGCCTCACAACTAACCGCATGTGCATGTAGGCAGGGGTCCGTCCATGTTATGGCCCACACTGGCAAAATGACCACACTGTTCATCTCTAGGTGTTCAAATGGATAACAATTAGTATGTACTTCCTTTAGGTTAGTTTTCTCTAGGAACAAAAATTCTGAAGATAAGTTCTGAAGACGGTCAATGCATTCTGAATCTCGGGAGGGACCTTGGGGACCTGAAAATCAGTCTGGTTGTTTGTCATACTGGGGGTCCAGTGACATCTTTCACAAGGGTAAGGGACTATTAAATTTGGGCGATATGAGCCAAGTGCCATGTCATACGGGAAAGCAATGTGAATTCATGTCTGGGAGTGACGCATACTCAATTTGATTCAAGTAACATGAACTGAGCACTTTCTCTATCTCCATCTGATCCCATGCATGTAAAATTCTTCCATGCTTGATGTAGAAATGCTTACCAGACAGAAAAGAGGACCTAACAAGAGGATGCCGGTTGGTTTTCTACTTGCCCCCACTTTTTTTCTTAAGTGTGTGTTGAGTCAGTTTCTCACTGTATAGCTCTGGCTGGTCTAGAACTCATGTGGACCAGGCTGGCCTTGAACTCATGGTGTTCCACCTGCTTTTGCCTTCCCAGTGCTGAAATCCAGGGTATGCACTGCCATGACCACTCTTTTTACCTGGGGTGTAAAAGTGAAGATCTGGTTCCTAATTACATAGAGTTTGGAGGTACCAAGAACACCAATGTGCCGATATGGTCGACCACTCAATTTCATATTCTTATTTCGTCCTATTTGAGATATAAAGGAGAAACTGGAGTTAGAGAAAGTAAAGTACAAGCTATTCCTGGTGACCTAGGCTAAGGCTGGGCTTATTTTTATGTCAGACAATAGACTATGGGGTTTGTCTTCCTAATACCATGGCCTTTTAAAAAGTGGGACAAAACTGAACAGAGAAATATATCCTGTCTCCTCTCTTCATGCATGGGTATGAACAGCAGTTTCAACTATATGGAGTAGAATTATTAAAAGGGCTTTATTAAGATTGACTTTGAATTTATTTATTGATAGATTGAATTTAGTTATTTATTTTAAAAAAATTATTCAGATTTTAAGAAAAGAGAAGTGCTTCCCACTTTAGTGGGTAAAGTGAGCACTTTGGGGTACCACAGGTCACAATTAGAAACCATATCAAGATACCAGTAGCTCTTTCAACTGTGACCTTTTAATGGGGGTGCTTATTCTCCAAGGGAACTACCAAACAAAGGCCCTCCTATGGCTATATGGGTTGAGGGAAATCTGCTTGTCTGTTCATTCTTCTTCACAATGGACTGAGACAAGTGGCTGGCCTACTTAGTGCTCCCCCAGGTCTTCTTCAGAACTTAGAACAAAGTTTCCCTCACACCCGAACCTAGCACCTGGAAAGGCCCTTTTCCCAATATACTCCAATACTTCCATGACCTACCAAGTTTGGCATATATATGACTAAGAATCCGGCCTGGCTGAACTCGAATTGGATGCACATCAGCAATGCTCTGGACATTTACCCCATGGTGTTGCAACAGCCCCTTAATGTGACTGTTCTCTGCCAAGACAGCAACTGCAAATAAGAACAAAGAATCAGTCTCAGATCTGTGTCTGGTGTCTATGCACACTGACACATGGAACTGATCTCTCTTCTGTCCAGTCCTAGGCATATAACACATTCTCCACAGTTGGCTTTGGAAATGGTGGCATTTGTCCTGCTACCCTTCCTGCTTTTTCTCTGTCCTTACTGCACCTCAACACACACCAATGCACACCTGTCAAGTGCCCTCACTGCACAGGACAGTATGAGAGCTTTTAGAAATGGTCTTCAATAGGCTCTGCACCAACTTCTCCTACCTGAAATCATGTCTTGCCTCCCTCTGGGTCTGCTTTCATCTAAATATGCCAGTGTCCTTTTCACACAGGGTTAGGAGTGGAAACAGCTCCCTCAGGGGATTTGAGAAGTCTGTCCCTGCTCCCAAAGGGCAGGGGGAGTGAGCAATAAATATGTCAGGAAAAGAAAGTGGACCTGCTGGTGGAGATAGTTGTAGAAGTGGGACTCTCTAGCCCACTTAGAAGCACAGCACAAACCCCTGCAGATGAGAAAGCACCCATTCCAGATGGATTGGGCCCTGGGCCCTCTGGCTAGCAGGGACTCCCAAGTATGTGGGTCCTAGTAGCCTATGCAGAAATTAGTCTTAGCTTAGAAACACATCAGTGATAGCTTGGTGCTATCTAACACACCAGTCAGTACTGCCTGCCTTTACGAGAAAGCAGTATATTGTCAATGGGATGGAGTCTGGACAGGGGCTTGCAGAAGAGGAGGCCAGTCACAGGGAACAGCTGGTAACTTGCCCAGCTGCAGCAGAGACTTTTGGAAACGGGCCCAGGGCATGCTTAGGCCAGAGAACAAAGGCTAAGGTACTGTGAGGACATCTTCCCCAAATCCTCCCATTGGATCCATGTGCTGGGAAATGCTGAACATGTGATACATCTAAATGCCACCTGGTGCTTCTTAAAGTGTTTTAATACCAATGATGGTGCGGAGCCGCTGGTCTGTCAGGCTGCTTTGTTATTTAGATCTCAGCGGAAAGACAGGTTTTGGCCCTGGCCTTCACCTGGGGTCAGTGATAAGCAAATGTTTTGCCAAGTCTACCTCCTTTTGTTTGAGACAGCAGGTGGGATGCCTTGTCAAGTTCACACCTTTTGTTTATGTGAGGATCACACAGACAGGTGGTCGAGGTAAAGAAGTTTTGACTTCCCTGTGGATTCATTCATTGTACTGAGGTGCTTTTACTCTGACTTGAAAAGGGATTATTGGAATAAACTGGTGACTAGTTTTCTACTCGAAGCCCTCTTGAAAAGATCCCATGTGTAGTGTGTTGGTTTATTAATTTTCTTTCAATCCTCACTCCCAACTCAAGAACCGTTTGACTGTCAGTGGGCTCCGAAAAATCATCTCATTTTACAGTGAATAGAAGCCATGAGAATACTTAATTAGTCCACAATAGTTGAGCCAGGACTGGAACCTAATCCTCACTCTACCTTCCCCAGGCCACCAACAAATTACATTGCTGGGCTATGCAGGATTATTTGTGGGGTTCCCTCAACATTTATCCCTTCTGAAAATTTCACTAACAAGCAGAACTCCACATTTATCAAAGATACAGCTTCCACTTTCAGTATGACTACCTCTTTCAGGGAGTGGCTATAACTGAAACTGGAGAGGATTATGTTCTGATGCAACCACATGAGCATGAGTTTGGCCCACCACTGTGTTTGTGTGTGTGTGTGTGTGTGGGGGGGGAACCGTACATGTGTGTGTAGGTAAAAGGACAACTTTCAGGAGTCAGTTCTCTTGCTGTACTTTGTGGGTTTTGGAGACTGAACTCAGGCTATCAGGCTACTAGGTGGCAAAGGGCTGTTACCTATTGAGGCATTTCACTGAACCTGCATGAGTTTCTGAAACATCCCCTGACCTGCTCCTTCCCAGATCCTTTGGTAATGCATTTCAGTTCTACTATATTTAAAAAAAAGATGCTGGCATGGAGAGTTGGCTCAGCAGTTAAGAGCACTCACTGATCTTCTAGATGACCCAAGTTTCATTTCCAGCACCAATATCAGGAGGCTCACAGTTGCTTATAACTCTAGCTCTGGAGAACGCAACACCTTCTAGTCAACTTGGGCACTGCTCATGTGCACACACTCATACTCAGATACATGCACACACATATATATAATTAAAAATAAAAATCAATAAATTAAAAAAAAAAGTCCAGTCGAGATCTATTAATATGTCCTGGCCTACAGCTGGGAAACAAACAAACAAACAAAACCACAAAAACTTCTTGTAGATTTAAGAGACAAATTAGCAGAGTGTGCTGGTCAAGTATGCAGATTCAGGAATGTAGCTGCATCCGCCCATTAGGACACCAGTAATGGGCCCCCGCCCTCAGCTGCCCACTGAGGTCCTTAAGGGAATAAACTAACCTGTAAGCTTCACGCAGAACAGAATGTTGTCGTGGTTAAGGTGTATACTATATACAGTATTGATTAGTTTAGCTCCTCTCATTGCATTATGGTCAAGCTTATTAAAATGGGTTTGGAGCCACAAAGAAGAAGAAGGCTTTGTTCAATCATTCTTTTCTTTTCTTTTTTTTTATAGTTTCTTTTTTTTTTAAATTTATTCATTTTACATCCCAATTGTAACCCCCTCCCTCATCTCCTCCTGGTCCCACTCTCCCTCCCTCTTCTCCCATACCCCGTCCCCTAGTCCTCAGAAAGGGGGAGCCCTTCTCCCTTACCAAATGACCCCAGACTATTAAGTCTCTTCAAGACTGCGGGCATCATCTTCCTCTGTGGCCTAGCAAGGCTGCCTCACCCAGGGGAGATGACACAGGTGTAGATCAGTAAAGAAAATAATACAATCTTAAACTTAAGAAGTATACAGCAATTAAAAAAAAAGAAGTATACAGCTTAAGCCAGGCATGGTGGTTGATGCCTATAATCTCATCACTTGGGAGACTGAGGCAAGAGTATTTCTATGAATGCAAGACCAGCTCTGGATTTGTAGTGAGTTCAAGGTCAGCCAGTTTTACAAAGTAAGACTCTGTTTCAAAAGACCAAAAAAAAAAAATTCATAAAACAAACAAACAATGAATGGTGTATAGTGTTTTTTTTTTTTTTTTTTTTTTAGCAGCAATGCGTTATATACACAATGGGCTGACATTTGGCAAGTATCTGACTATTCTACAAAGCACTTAAAATGTGTCAGAGCTGGGGGCTGGAGAGATGGCTCAAGAGGTTAAGAGCACTGGTTGCTCTTCCAAAGGTCCTGTAGTTCAATTCCCAGCAACCACATGGTGGCCCACAACCATCTATAGTGAGATCTGGTGCCCTCTTTTGATGTCCAGGTGTACATGCAGGCAAAACAGCGCACACATAATAACAAACAAACAAACAAACAAATAAATCTTTAAAAAAATGTGCCAGAGGTGCCATGGGACCTTGGGAAAGGGAACAGAAGGGACTAATATTCTAAGTGCATACCATAGGCCAGACTTAGATTGAGAGCTTCCTCCAGACCCATCTCCACTGGTTTCAGGATCCTTTGGGAGGAGTAAGAGTCCTAGCAGACCTGAGATATGACCTGTGGGGGTACCCTGGGAGAGGCAGCCCCATTGGTCTTCTCACCTTTTTGGAAGAGACACTGGCTTAAGAGGAAGGAAGGGAGAGTTAAAGCAGGTACTGAGACCTGAGACCTCCAAGGAAAAAAATGAACTACTTCACTTGGGTTCTGAGTTTTCCGCAGTTTCAGACTCCACTTTTTAGAGTGACCGTTATGAAGAATGATGCTCGGTGACTCATGTGTGCTCCAGTGATAATCAAAGTTCAGACTGCAGGAAACAATTGCTTTGTCGGAAGTCAATTTGTGGGTGGGAAAAATCCCATTGCTTTTTGGGGCCTGCCTGACTTATTACAAGTTTTCACACAGATGCCTACATCTTATTGTACAATGAATCATGCCCTCTGGACCTTTTTTCCTGTGTAAAGGTCTTACTATGTGGGTTAGACTGGCCTCAGAATCTCTATTAAGCCAAAGGTGACTTTGCATTTGTGATCCTACTGTTCTTCCAAAGTTCTGGGATGACAGCTATATGCTACCATGCCCAGTTTAAAATGGTGCAGAAAATTGAGCCCTGGGCCTCATGCCTGCTAGTTAAGCTTTTTACCAACTGAGCTACCTCCCCAGCCTGGCTTTGAACTATTGACCTTCCTACCTCATGCTCCCAAGTGCTAGGATTACAGGTTTGCTGCTAGAACCCTGTTAACACCCTTTTAACAAATTTCAGTAAGGAACTAGGAACAATGTGAATGAAAAATTAATACTGATTTTATACATTAGAGATGGAGAGCAAAGACGGTCACAAACCTTGTACTACAACATCAGGTTTGACTGAAGTCGAAAATCTTCTATTTAAGGGATCAATTTCACCAGTGGCAAGGAATCCCTAAGAAGAGAAGAGTATTAATACTTGAAAACCTGTTTTAACGAAGAGTTCATCTTGTTCCTACACTTGAAAATGACATATTTGGGGGCTCAAAGACTCAAAAACCTTTCCTTGGTATTTGTTGGGTTTCTCTCCATAACAGCATCTGCTACCCTGAATGCCACCACTTAGCTCTGAGGGTTACTCAAATGTACCCCCACACCGTATGGGTGAAAAGAAAGCTCTACTACTAGTGTTAGCTGAGTCCCTGCATGTGCACTTTCACACTTGAATCTCCTATGTCCCTCACCATTCTGCAGGCAGGAAAACTGAGGTGAACATGCTTATACAAGGTACAGTGAGACTTTGGTCTAGGGCTGACTCTTGGAACCACAAAACTCTTCCCACCTTGTTAAGTGTGCTCTTTAAAAATGCATCTTCTTTTACTTCCTAGGAATGACCCAAGCATCCAAAGGGGACGAAGGTGATCTGAGACAGAGTCGACCTACTGCTGGACCCAAAGGAAGGCTTTTTATATTGGAGACGAGGTTTCAGGAGTGGAGTTACTTATTTCCCACCTCACGCATACTGAAATCTGAGCTGAAATGCATTGGACAGACAAAGAAGCCCATTTTTTTTTCTCACTTTACAAGTAAGGCAGTTGAGGATCAGAGAGGTTAGGGGACCTGCCAAAAGTCCCTGAGCTAGTTGAGTACAAGATTGCTTTCAAAAGAATGTATAGACACTCCTCTAAATGAAGCCATGGCCATGGATTGTGGGAGATTAAACAAACATGGGAACCACCTCAACAGCCAGTGTTTCCAGGTGATGTGTCCACTGTGCTAGCTTTCATCGGTCTTTACCACAGCAGTAACCCAGTAACATTCTAATGTACTCTTCTTGTCCCCGGTTTAACAGGCGGTGAAGCACACAAGGCTGGCCAGCCTCAGGTGGGCAGTCCCTTTCTTCTCTAGGCTCCTTCCCCATACCACAACTCTCAGCTGAAGTTTCTTACTCAAGACTGAGGGAGTCATGTTAAAGCTTTTCCAACAGAAGCCTAGGGGCAAGAGGGAATGGGTCAAGAGGTGGGTTGGTGTGGGCTGTGGTATCTGAAGGACAACCTGTGCCTTCTGTCTCTTTGGAAAGACCTGAAGAGTCCCTGTGCTTCCTGTGTCAAGGGCTGGGAGAGCTTCTAGCCCATCTAATAATCCTGTCTAAATCCTGTCTCTTCCAGGATCAGATGTGCTAATCTTGGCTGGGAAGTTTTCCATGTGTGCTGAGCAACAATGCAAAAAGATTCTAAGTGTATAGCAGAGATTCTGGCGAGAGGGAGGGAGTATAGTACGGATCTGATATGAACTGGCTTGCTGTATATATCAATATGCAAGGCTAGAGGAAAGCCTGAGGCCCAATTCAGCCCGGGTGACCTTGAAGACAACGAAGTTGCACAAAAGCTATTCATAGTGACTCAGTACAGAGAGCCCCCGTGCTCTTCTTACTTTCCTGTACCTCTGATCAAATGGGTTTCCAGTGAAGAAGGCCTACCTCTGCCAGCAGTGAGCTCAGGATGTACAAGGACTGTCCCCAAAGATGAGGCACCTTCCCCAGTGCAATTCGGTCTACTGTGTGTGGGTTCTTATACTCTTCATCCACCTGGCAGAGAAAATGAAAAAATTCCAGATCAGAATGTCAGGGGATACAAAGGCCAGCAATATCTTACACTTGGGAAACATGCTGAAGATTTATAAAACAGTCCTCAGCCTCCTCACCAATTCTTTATAATACAGGATGGTAGACTCAGAAAGCAGAAAGTTTCTTTCTCAGTGCACCATGGCTATTAGCAACAGAAGGGGATTTCAAATCTTGTCCTGGTCCTAGGCCAGTATTTCTCCAATAAGCACACCTGAGACCACAGGTTCTGGAAGCTTGGCTTGCCTGCTCTATCCCCAGCTCTGGGCAGCAGGAAGCTCCACAGCTCATGCTCATGGATGGCTGTTCTCATAACAACAACAACAAGAACAAAACACAGCAGCTTGAATACACAGAGTGCATACTATGCACAGCGGAAATGCCAAGCCTGGTTTCTTCTGGCTTATAATCCCCAGGGATGTGTGCCCATGCAAGAACATTACCAGAAGGTGGCACTCCGCAATGAGGAAAACCAATAGTGTTGCTGCCACTCCCAGCCTACCTCCTTTAGAAAGTGGAACTTCCTGGGAGCTTCATCTTATCAATGTAAGGTTCTGTGACCCCCATCCCTCTTTGTGTCAGCAATGTAAGCTCCTATGCCTACCCATTCTGAGGACACTTCCAGCTACGTATGGGACACTCTCTTCAACCTCATGCTTCCCTTTAAGGTTTTAATCATTGAAACACGGATTAGGGTAATAGTCCTGTCCATTTTTTCCTCCAGAAAACACCAGTCAGAAACGGGAAACATTTATTCCTCTCTAAGGGAAAAAAAATTAGTGTGTGTGTGTGTGTGTGTGTGTGTGTGTGTGTGTGTGTGTGTGTGTAGGAGGGTGTTTCATTCTTAGTATTGTGACTTAATCACTGATATCATTAATATACTTAGTAAAGATTCATATTTCTTGGTAGCAAACATTGACCTTTTGCATACACTGAATGGAATTGTCACTGCAGTTAAATAATCAAGAAAGGAATAATAGTGTGGAAGAAGCTTCTCCAAACCGCAATAGTGGTTATTACTGAGTCATAGCATTATGGATAAAAAATGTTTTCTTTCTACAGAACCCCATATATTTTACAATGTATAGGATAACTTTTAAAATTGGCTAGCACATTAAATACACAGCAAATACACTGAAATAAAACTATTAGGAAACACTGCAATGGTCTAGAATGTGAACTCTCTACTGCAAAGAACAGAAAACCAACAAGCTTTCCAGGTCAAAAGATGAACTTGTTCTGGCCTCTCTTCCACTGGAGTTCAACTCTGTCTCTTCATGAAGGTACTTTTCTCCTCCCTACTCTGGTTCTTCTGAAACTGTTACTTCCAGGTGAATTTGCACCACATCTCTATTTCCATCTCTCCTGTGGCTATGTCCATTTTCCAGCCTAGTTCTGTTTTTACATACCCACAGATACAGAACCGCCTTGTATACTAGCCCCTTGGAAGTGCCAGGCCTGGACTAGCTGCTCACTCCGCATTTGTTGGACATACTTTTACTGGTCACCCGCTGTGCAGTGGAGGGTTGATAAATGGTGGCACCTTGCCCAGGCATACAGGCTGCATGACCACTGTAGTCTCAGACTTTTTTTCAAATTTGCACAAAGGTGCCATATAGGTTTGTGGTGTCTCACAGGCTCCCTTCCCAGTGGTCTCTATAGGTTATTGATGGGACTGAGGAACCTTGCCAACCCTCACCTGCAAACTGAACACAAAATCAACAAAATCAAGTTGAGGTAAAATCCTGTCCAATGCTGGTGCCTAGCATATAAGCTAAATGCACAGACTAAAGAGGATGCTGAATGACAAGTACCAACCTAGAAGTCAGTGGGGTATTCAGGAGAGTTGTAGAGTAATATTTTTATGGATGTACAACCAGCCTTATCCATCAGGAAGCCAAGTGCTGCTCTGACACCAAGCATTTACTATGGTCGGTCAGTACCTGAGCCTTTCGGGAGCACAAGGATGGCTAGTCGCACTCATGAAACAGGTATCCTTGAAGGTATGCATTGATGCCTCCATACTACAGAATGAGCGATCCCAACAGGAGATATGGATGGATACGTATCTATTGAAAGTGACACAGACACCCCTCCTCCTCCTCCTCAGTATTCACTCCATCCACAGCATACAGATGCCAATGGAAAATGAAGACAGCGGCAGAGGACTTCCGACACACAAAAACCACCCCTGGCAAGACTTTAAAACTTAATCAGCATGGTAAGACATGACAAAAGTCTTGTCCTTAACTTGTCCTAGGAAAGCTGGATGATGTGACACAATTCGTGCTATGATGGGAGCACGGAGTTTCTAGAAGCTCAGACTCAATGGTCTAGGTAGGACTGAGTGGAGAAAGCCATTGCAAGGAACTACCGAGTGGATCCAGCAGTAAACCAGCTGCAAAATTACGCTGCATCTTTAACCCTTTAAAATGAAGTAATGACACACTTGACATCTAATTTCCAAAGTTGCTTAACTACATCATTTAGGCATTTTTCTTTTTTTAGATGGCACTATTCTGTGTCTAAGTTATATTATCGTCCTCAAACATTCCCAGAATGTGTACAAATCTGTACAAATGTTTTTCCAATATAACCACTGAATATTCTATTCTAGTTGCTGGCTTTCATTGTATTTTTCTCACTCCTTGACTTTTAAAATACCATCTGAGGTGTTGAACAGGTGGGCTATTGTCAATGTAAAAGAATCCAATGCTTTCAGAAGTAAAACATTCTATTTCTCACAGAATCTCAACACTTTTTAACTTGACTTTCTTCTTGATCTAAGTAGTCACTTATTTAATACATAAAGGTCCTTCTGGATCAGTGGTCCTTAGTCTGAGGGGTTGTGCTCCCTTTGGGGTCAAATGACTCTCTCACCGGGGTCACCTAAGATCATCGTAAAACACAGAGGTTGCATATCAGATACCCTGTATATCAGAAAATTACAGTTATGAAGTAGCAATGAAAATAATCTTCTGGTTGGGGGTCACCACAACGTGAGGAATTATATTAAAGGGTCGCAGCATTAGGAAGGTTGAGAACCACTGCTCTAGATAAAGGCTCAAAGTAATCCTCACAACTTTTATGCTGTATAAGGATGAAGTCTCAGACTCATTTAAAATGTTATTTTTTTTTAAATTTGAGTTTCCTTTGAGCCAGGATCACAAAGAATAGCCTTGAATTAGTAATCCTTTTGCTTCAGGTACCTGGACAGTGGAATTACATGTGTCACTGCCCAGCAAAATGTATGTTCCTCATGGAATAAAAGAAAAACCTACTCCACCACTACTTTCAAAGTCCAAGGAAGGCATTCAATATTTAGATATTTCTACTAACCAAAATGTACTACCCATTAGGAGGTGGTGTGGCTTTGTGTGGAGGCCCAGAACCTGGGGTTTGGTTCTTGAGTGGAATCCAGTGATGTCTTAGATTGGACAGGTTCTTAGAGGTTCCCTCAGTGTAGTCAGGCTCTATCATGTCCTTTGGTCTTGAGTGTATGGGCCCGATTCAAACACAGACCAGGGAATCCCGCCCCCCTCCCCCTCGAGGACACCCAAGGTCAAACATGTTTCATGTTTCTCAAAGCTATAATTCCTTACGATGAATTAAAAAACAAAACAAAACAAAAAAACAACAAACAACTAGCCTTTAGAAACCACCTCTAGAGAAAAAGAGGTCATTTGTCCTGAAAGGTGGATAGAGACTAGCCAAGCCCTAAATCACTTAATCTAGATGAGCAGCATGAGGAGCTTAGTAAGACCTGGTTACCTTGTCTGGTGGGATGGCATAGAGTTCCGGTACCAAGTGGATTCCATCTTTGCCTCTGATTAATATTCCCTCCAGGGCTTCTCGGTATTCTTGGACCTGGAAAGAAAGTCCCAGCACCTTTAGTGTGACAGAGTTCTGACAGTAAATGATGCAATGGCAATATAACTTAGAAAACAACAGCAAGGGGAGGAGGACCTCCCTTATCAGTGGACTGGGGGAGGGGCATGGGAAGAGAAGAGGGAGGGAGGGTGGGATAGGAGGGGATGAAGGAGGGGCTACAGCTGGGATACAAAGTGAATAAAGTGTAATAAAAAACAAATAACTGTAAATGCAGGGGGAAGTGTATATATATATATATATATACTCTCTCTCTCTCTCTCTCTATATATATATATATATATACTCAATCTCATGAAAAATACTTCAATTCTGGTTATATATATATATATATATATATATATATATATATATACTCAATCTCATGAAAAATACTTCAATTCTGGTTATTTTAGACGTGTTTGTTTCATCTATAATATTCACTCCATTAGGTCAAATTGTGTTCTTGATTACTTATGTTTTAGGTATAATAATTTATGTCATATTCAAAGGGTGTAAAAAACAATTCAGATCTACATCATGATGTGAATAGTTTTCATATGATCCAGTTTTCATAGGATTCATTTTTTTTTTAACAGACTCTTATGACAGACTTATTGCCAGAGAAGTTCAACAGAATCCGATGAAGAAACTCCCCACTTACTTTAATCTCTGATGGGATATGCAAACTACAGGAAGCTATTACTGATTATTATGGGGAATGGCCCAAAATGACACTATCAGACAAGACCGGGCGTGTTCAGGGTGGTACGGCTGTAGATACTACCATAATGTTTCTAGACTGGCAGTCAGTGTCAAAAGAAATCATAAACACACACACACACACACACACACACACACACACACACACAGGAATAAGAAACAGATTAAATTAAGGAATGTTGATTGAGACAAATTTCCACTAGCCAAATCCAATCATTTCAGGAAAAATACTCAAAATTCAGTTTGTAAAGTTTTGTGTTGATTCCCAAAGTGTAATAAAATGGTCAGACGACGCATAACATAGCCATTGTTTTATTATTTAGCCCTTAAAGGTCTAGTAGCATTTGCCAATGTAGGATCTAGTTCTCCTACTTCTGTTCTGAAATACACTTAGAGATGATTGGTTTTCAAATTGAGAATTTTTACATTGAGAAAATTCATTGGTTATTTGTAACACAGAATAGATATTGACATAACCACATTTAATTCTTGTTACTGCCACCCATTCATCATGGAAAATGACACATGTATGCGTTATGAAGTTTAGACTCCTCTACATATAGTCTGTTATGTCCTTTTTGGTAAAATCTGTCTCAAAGTACAATAGTATATTGAGAGCTTTTACAAAGCCTCAGTATGTCACAGGGCTAGTGTTAAAATACACAGGAAGATGAATTATCTTCCAGGGTAGACATAATGCTGCCCATTTCGAGGACAATGAAATTGTACTGTTTGAATGTCGCTTAGCTTATCAGGTAGAAGTACCCGACTGTGAGACAGAGCAGAGCCTACCAAAGCTGTTCTTTGCTGGCAGTAGCCTGTCTATTGCTTGAGATTTTATCCTTTGATCTCTGAAGGGATCTGTGAATATATAACAGCTATGGATATCTGTCAATACACCAGATTTGGAGACACAGGGCTGGGAAAATGTTCTCTTGAAAAGCCATCAAATGTTATTATGTAAAAGCTCTCATAATCAAAACAAAATAAAACACTAAAATTACAAGTAAGAACCTTAGAGGCACCTTGTCTAATATGAAGGTGGTGTGGGGATCCCATTGGGCTCAGTGGGACCATGAAATGAAGTTGTGACCACCATTTTATTATTCCATGTGATAATACTGTCCCAAGATTATAGTGAAGTCACATGGCATATGTCGTCTTTATGATATCATTATTCAAGATGACAGCCAAGTTAAATAAATGGTTGCTTCCATCTCGATGAGTAGCCCCAAGTGAAGCATATAGCCAATTACATAGTTGTTTCCTGTTCTACATAAAGTCTGCCCATGGTAAAGCAAATGCATATTCCATCAGGAAATTCCAGGTCCATGTGTAATCTGCTTTCTTCAGTGTGGGTAAAGAATATTTAGAGATCAAGAAAAAGAGAAACACAGATGAGGAGAGAATCACAGATTTTACATAGAACAACAAAATGCCAGAGGAGTCAAGTCATAACTGTAGGCTGTAAAGCCGTATGAGCTCACTCAGGCACCATGTTCTTGATTGTATTTGTCTGTGAAAAAAAAAATGGAGATGGCCATGGGAGAGAGTAAAGGTTGTTCAGAGTAGCCTGCTGGCATTGGATACTTCAAAAACCACTGCCAGGTTCAGACCCAAATATCCTTTGGGGACTGATGGAATATGTCTTGAAAATAAAAGACAGAGGCAGACATCTTCTCTCCAGAAACAACATAGTTCCTTAATCAGAAAAAAAAAAAAATGAAGAATGGGAGTCTCTTCATGGAAGTCCTCATGCTGTGAACATGGTGTGGGGTCTTCCCTGATTGATAGTACAAAACTGGTAGGGTTGGGGATTTACTGATTGTTTCTTTGCTGCAAAAGACTAGCAGGTCTGGAACGTGTTTCTACTTTTAGAAGATTCTATAGGTGCTAATGATTCAAGAAAATGTTCTTGTTTATAGAGTTATAGATTGATCTAAGATTTTACATACTGAAAAATTCACTTGCTCTGTATGTTAGCCATTCTAAATATAAAGCCATTTGCTTTTAGAAATATGACACATTGAAATTATAAAAGCCATGGCATCAAACTGGTAAGCAATATGATATCGGTTCTCTTCATCAATACTGACAAGTCTTTTCAGCAGGTTCAGTTTTAGGAACTACCAGTGTTCTTTAGACTTAAAAAAAAAGATTTATTTATTATTTATACAATATTTTGCCTGCACACCAGATCTTACTACAGATGGCTATGAGCCATCATGTGGTTGCTGGGAATTGAACTCAGGACCTTTGGAAGAACAGCGAGTATTCTTAACCTCTTTTTTATAAAATTTATGTATTGTTTCATTAATTACAGTTTATTCACTTTGTATCTGAGCTGTAGCCCTCTCCGTAGTCCTCTTCCAACTCTATCCCCTTCCTCCCCTCCTCCCATACCCCTTCCCCAGTCCACTGATAGGGGAGGTCCTCCTCCCCTTCCATCTGATCCTAGTCTATCAGGTCTCATCAGGAGTGGCTGCATTGTCTTCCTCTGTGGTCTGGTATAGCTGCTCCCCCCTCAGGGGGAAGTGAGCAAAGAGCCAGACACTGAGTTCATGTCAGAGACTGCCCCTGTTCCCCTTACTAGGGAACCCACTTGGATACTGAGCTGCTATGGGCTACATCTGTGCAGGGGTTCTAGATTATCTCCATGCATGATCCTTGGTTGAAGTATCAGTCTCAGAAAAGACCCCTGTGCCCAGATTTTTTGGTTCTGTTGCTGTCCTTGTGGGGCTCCTGCCCTCTCCAGGTCTTTCTATCTCCCCCTTCTTTCATAAGATTCCCTGCACTCTGCCCAAAGTTTGGCTATGAGTCTCAGCATCTGCTTTGATACCCTGCTGGGTAGAGTCTTTCAGAGGCCCTCTGTGGTAGGCTCCTGTCCTATTCCCTGTTTTTCCCTCTTCTGATGACCCTCCCATTTGCCTTTCTCATCCAGGAGTTTCTTAATGTCCTTTACCAGCTGCTCTTCTCTCCTGAAGATTTCCTTCTGCCTCATCTGTATGAGATCCTCAAAAAGAGCATTCCTAGCCATATGGGACCTTACAATATTTGATATGTAACATGTGGCCCAATAATGCACAAAATGCAATGCTTGGCTAACAGGGGGAGCTATGAATGAAAAGCTCTTGAAAAGAAGCTGTGTCTGCAGATCCCGATTAAGCTGATCTGAATTTCAGTACTGTGGAGAGACAGGAAAGTTGCAGATCCAAAGGCTAGTGACCATATCTTAAACTGGCTCTAGCCCTACGGAACAGCCATTCCTTGCTCACTTCTCTGTTAGAGCTAATACCCTGTGACTAATAATAAAAACCTTTTGGAATCTTTTAACTTGACTACTAGCTTCTACCAACCCAAAAGCTCAAACAGCAATCTGTGCTCTATCGAAAAGCTTCCCCTATCTCTCAGCACCTGGCTCTCTGGTGTACTCATCCTGTCAATGTATTTTAAACTTGCCTTGGTTTCTGACGGAATTCTTCTGTAAAACTATAAAATCTTAATGAAACTGCTTTTATGTTGGAAGAACTTAAGAGCTTGGAGTAACCTAAATCTGTGTTCTTGGGTCATGGGCACTTAAAATGGTTACAAAATAAATCATCTCTTATTTACTTAAAAAAAAAAAAACAAAAAACAGGCAAGGTGATACCTGCCTTCAATCCCAGCACTGGGGAGGCAGAGACAGGCATATGTTTGTGAGTCTACAGAGAGAGTTCCAGGACAGACAAGGCTACAGAGAGAAACCCTGCCTCGGGAAGGAAAAAAAATAAGATGATGCATAGGCATTCTTCTCTCCTTAACTACTTCCTGTCCCCTTGATCACTGTTAAATCTGTTTGTACTGAAATTCAAAGTCAGTCATTCAGAGAGTTTTCACTATTAAGTATAAAAAACAGGAAGGCCCATGGTAAACTCTAAGTATACCTTAAGAAGAAAGAAAGGACTTTAACATTTTAAACTTATTGTCTCTGTTCCTGAGCGCTGGGCTTTTAAAGCCAAAGTGCAGGAGACACCATCTACTGTCCAAACTGTGATCAGAATGGTCTCTGAGAAGCCAGACTGAAACCCTGGTAACAAAGACACTACTGAGTGGTAGTGGAAAGCAGCAGCTAGGACATCTCTGGAGAAAGTTAAGTCACTGGGGTTATATTCTTGGGAGAGTGCACTGGGACCCTAGCTTCTTCCCCAGCACACCATCTGTTTCTTGGCTGACATAATGTAAACAGTTTCCTTCTGGTATAGGCTCCCTACCACAATGCACCACCACACTAAAGGACCAAAAGCAAAGAGGCCAAAAACAACCAGGAGCCGAAACCTCTGAAACAGTGAGCCCAAAAGAATTTTTTTTTTCTCCTTTTAACTGGTTTATCTCAGATATTTTGTCACAGCGATAGAAATGTGACTAACACGACAGGACTTTTAACAAAACCTTCTAATAAAACCACTCTGGCTCAGGTGTAGACAGGAGAAAGAACAGGGAGCTAGGGAGCTTGGGAGCTTGGGAGACAGTTAGGAGGTTGATCCACTAAACAAGATGTTATCTGAGAGTATCACTAAACCAAAGCACCTCTGAACTAGACCTAACAGCAGCACAATGACTGACTTGAAAGAAATAAAAGAAGCATCCCTCTGAGATAGATAGGAACTATGTCTCCTAGCACTCATTTCCTTGTCTAGTTCCCCCACCCCCACTCTTGAATATGTGACAGCCATTTAGCTGACCATGTGATGGAGGCCCTTTGCCAGTTCTGTAATAAGACTTAAGAAAGCTTGGCAGCTTGTGCTTTTAAATTCGTGGGGAAAAGTCTAAGAGAAGTCTAAGAACTCAGAGATTCTGCTGCTGTGAAAGAAAAGCCCAAGTGAGGAGGGAGAAGAGCAGCCGAGCTTGCAGCTTTAGCTGGGAACCAGAGTTCACTCACCAGCCACTTGAGTCGGGCTATCTTAAGAGTAGGTCCTCTAGTCCTATGAACTATCCCAGGTGACGTGAGGAGAAGCAGAGACCATCTGTCCCTAACAGCTCTGCCCAAATAGCAGATTATGAACAAATCAATAAAACAGCTGTTGCTTTAATTCACGAGGCTTTGGAATAGCTTTAAAAATAGCAACAAATAACAGAAGAAACAATGAAATGAATTCTTGAATGACTCTACGCTAACAGTGATCAGCCCATCAGTGAGATTAAAAAGGCTTATAAGCACAATGCCCAGCATTTTCTCACCTGAACAGCATCGCCATTGAAGATTCCATCTATGATTAAGTAAGTCCAGAACAAAGGCCATTCACATTCAATGTTTTCAAAGAGCTTAAGTTCAGCAGGGTCATAGTGCAATCGGTGTGGGTCCTAGAAACAAATGCATCAACACTTTTAGAAAAGAATGTTAGATTTCATATACAATGCCACCGGGCCTCACTGGGTTTCCTTTGCCTTTCTCAGTCAATACAGTTTAGAGGCTGGTATGATCAAGAATCTAATAAAATGGGGAAATGCTAGTTTGTGCAAAATTTTTAGGAACTAAATCAGAAATACACACAGGATTCGTCAGTAGTTTATTAAATTTAAGCACTCTATCTCGCTAAGAAATAGCAATTTGCCTATCACAAAGCTTGGCAGATAATCTGTTTTAGTTTATATCATTATGTTACCACGGTGGCAAAAAAAACAGCAAACAAACAAAAAACAAGTAGAAAGCTATAGGTGATCTTAAAAAAAAAAAGTATTTGTTAAGCTACGGACTTACTCATCCTTGATTTACAAGCTGGTTTCACATTACTGCCTGACCTGATGATCATTCTTTTCTATATAATTTCAGGCTTTCTGACTCTAAAATTAATACTTCCCTTCCCAATAATCAACATATAATTATAATCAGTAGAAGGAGGCGGCACTGTGGCAAGCAGTTATAGAGCAGTTTAAGGAACATAAGAAACAGTATTTAAATACAACCTCTCTTGGTGTTTTATAACCATCTCGAAGGAAGCGACAGCATCCGTAACGCCCCTGGTAAGGTGAAGAAAAAAAAAAGTAGAGGTGATGAAATCAAAAGAAATTTTTTTTTTGCCTTTTTATTTCAACTCAAGTCGGTCTTTCATCCCCTTTCCCGTGAGTCTTTCAGTGAGGAAGTATGCAGCAGTGTTCTTCGCTTTAGTATAAAGAGTTCTTATTTTAAATGCTAAGCAAAGCAAATTCAGACTTGATGAGTATAAAGGAACATTCCATCAGAGCCGGGGGTGGGGCTACAAAGACGATTATCAAGAATTCAGCAAACGACCATTCTTTCCGTGTGGTTTACGGTATCACACACATAGACGCAAAGGTATCCTCACGAGGTAAAGCCACTGAGATTTGGAATGGCTGACTCCTGTGTGCATCTCTGGGAGGCTAAAAGGATACTCTGAAGACTCCTTGCACTTGAGCTGTGCATGTAAAAGAAGGTCTGTTTCAGAGGCCTGGCAAGGCTTAGAGGAGGAGGGGGTTTATGAGGTGGAGGTGCGGAAGAAGGGCTTCCTGCATTCATTATGTGGCAGCCGGTTCAATGGCTGTCGATCGAGGCCAGGGCTCCTCTCTAGCTTTCCGGGTGTCAAGAAAGGAGGCTGGGTGCAATGTTGTCTTAGTTGATGTCCCTAATCTTTGGATGGCAGTTTTGGATGCCTATTTCCCAGTTTCTTCTGGAGGTGTTGCTTTCCTGGCAGGCTCGGCTAAAACTTGAACTTGTCCTGGGGACTTGTCCAAGTTCTGTGTGGTTCTGGGAATCATCTCAGGGGGCACAGTGTGGAAGCCATTTGTCCTGTAACACATTAACTGCCCTTTCAACTGTAGTCATCTAAGCCATGAAAGCCTGACTCTCCCAGTTGCTTTCTTTTGGGACTATCACTGGAGACTCTTCAATTGTTTAGTTTCCAAGAGACAAAGGCATTTCTTACTGAATATAGGTGGGATAATCAACATGTAAGCTTTGACTTGGGAAACTTATATCTTGGACAATTTTATGGACTTCTGTTTGCTGAGAATGTAACGTTTCAGCTTAGTGATCTGTTACTGTATTTGACTAAATATGGTAATGGATTTTCATCATTCAAATTTTTATTAGCATACAAAAATGTGATTTTCATTATGATATTTCATAATAGAAATATTTAATATTTTATGACATTTTCACTGTATTTTATTCTCATGTACCTCATATTATTTTGTCTCACTTCTTTTGTCCATTGGCTTCTTTTCCTTAAGTCAATTTTTCTCCTTTTATGTGATGTATGTATTCCATGTTATCAAAACACACGCAATATTTATCTTTTTTCTCCCTATTAACTTATTCTTCTCTCCCTTTGTCACCCTCCTCTGCTACCCATCCCCTTTCTATTTTCATTCATTCATTCATGTATATATATATGTATATATATTCTAGATTATATGTATGTAATATATATATAATTAATTCTAGATTCTACATATAAACATATAAGTGAAAACATGTAAAACTTGGTGGTCTCTGGCTTGTTTTTTTCTAACACAATTATCTTCAGCTCTACGCATGTCCCTGAAAATGACATACTTTTCTTATAGATGAATATAAAACTCTGTTGTGTGTGTGTGAGCATATATAAGGATTTCAGTATTATTTTCTGTGTGTGTCTATGTATGTGTGTTTAAGTATGTGCATGTGCACCTGTGTGTATGTAGACTAGAGGTTGATGTCAGCTGTTTTCCTCAATCCCCCTTCACCTTATTTTTTGACATAGGGTCTCTCAGTGACCCTAGAGCTGACCGATTTGGCTTGACAGGCTAGGCAGCAAACATTAGGGATCCACCCATTTCCTCCTTTCCAGTTCAGAGATTATGTATGTGTCCTGCTGGGTCCGGGTTTTTAAATGGGTGCTGAGAATCTGAACTCAGGTCCTCATCCTTGCATGGCAAGCACGGGGATGAGTGCTACTGTTCTGGCAGGGTCTACAGAGCTTTCTGGAGATTCTCAAAGAGTCTCCTATAACCTCTAAAGGGTTAATGATGCAAGTGCAGCCCTGTCTTAGAAGTATAGCAAGGATAAGGCCTGGGGTTCAAGGAAGCTGCTTGGTTGCAAGTCCTGCCATTTTAGAAGAAAACCAAGTTGCTTAATCACTCACACTTTTTTTTTTCTTGCCTACAGACTCTACTTTGGACACGCTGTCAGTCCATCTAGAAAATCCGCACAATGAGCTGCAAGGATGAGCTGCTCCACATCAACACATGAATGTGGCATTTAATGCTGAACAGAGGGCACTAATGTGGCCAACGCTTACCTGAAGCTTGGAAATAATTTCATTTTTGGTCACATTCACAAGGTTCACATCTTCCACTGCAAAGGCCGGAAAAGAAATGATAGAAAGAAGTCCAGCGTCAATTTCTTTCGATGTTGATGCTCTTGGCAACATGGAGAAAAGGATTGACTGAATAAAAAACAAAAGAGGTGGTTTAAGCTAGAGAGGAATGACTACTTAGATACAGTATCTAGGGATCATCACCTTAGCCTCAAGAAAACATTCAAATGAGTTTGTCTATTTGGAGAAGGACTTGGTCTTACCATCATGGCACCTGCTGTTCACCCTAGCTTACCCAGCTACCTAGACAATGGGTTCTCTTTCTTTTGAAGAGGAAGGGGACAGTCCCTGTTCCCATTACTAGGGAATTCACTTGGACACTGAACTGTCTCTGACATGAACTCTGTGGCCTGCTCTTTGATCACCTCCCCCTCAGGGGGGTGCAGCCTTCCCAGGCCACAGAGGAAGATAATGCAGCCAGTCCTGATGAGACCTGATAGGCTAGGATCAGATGGAAGGGGAGGAAGATCTCCCCTATCAGTGGACTGGGGGAGGGGCATGGGGTGGAGAAGAGGAAGTGAAGGAGGGGTTGGGAGGGGAAGAGGGAAAAGCCACAGGTGGGATACAAAGTGAATAAACTATAATTAAAAAAATTAAAAAAATACCCTTTAACACACACACACACAAAAGACGAGGGGGAGTTGAAGAGAGCATGATATAGTCTCACTAAAGACTGATTGTCTCCCTTCTTTCCATGTCCGCTGATGGGGAGGAACTACAGGCTGTTTGTGTCCGCAGTCAAGGTGTTCTGGCTAGAAAAACAGAACCTAGACAAGAATACTCATACAGCCCCAGCAGAAAGAAATGGTAACAGATGAATTAGGTAAGTTAGAAACTGCTTAAGGAAGAATAAAATTAAAAAGATTCCATGAGTGGTCAGACAAAATGGTAAGAATTCATTTAGTTCCAGAATCTTTTTAAGATTGTGGGGGGTACTACAATACAGCTTCAACAATAGCTAGATTACGAACTATAAATTTAGGAGGTTAGAATTATAGGGCTACATTGGGGAAAGGAGCTAATGTTGAGATCCAGCATGTTTAAGCATAGGCTAGACATCTGCAAACAAGGTCATTAAATAGTCCATATGACGATAAGAGATAAGGTATTATGTCAGATTAATACATAAGGACTCTGCAACACAGGATTCATGTCCAAGGTCATACAGCCAGTAAGTGATCAAGCTAGAATTCTAACTCAACTTATACTTTTCCATTAGACTATATATCTTTAAGACACATATCAGTATTCCTTTAGTAATGTTTACTCTAAGAAAATAAGAAACTTCATTAAGGACTATGCTTAATGGGGGAAATGGAATGGGCTGGAAGGTGAAGTTAAGCTGAGTGAAACCCTCAGCTTCAGAATAAAACGTTTTTTGGAGTCAACCAATTCTTGGCTCAATTCTTTTAACTATAGTCATGAATCACTTAATAATGAGTGGTATAATCTGAGAAATAAAATATCAGGTGATTTCACATTGTATAAATATCAAAGAGTATACTTACAAATATTGATAGCCTACTACACACATAGGCTGTACGATACATTTTGGTCAATGAGAGATAACATACGCTCTGACACAAGCAGTATATGCTATTCCTCATTGACCAAAATGCAAGTATAAAGTATGCAGCTATAATCACTCCTTTTCAGGGTTTCTCTGCCTGGAAACACAACCTCTCACTTGAAACTATAAGTGTATTAGGTTTAGTTTCTCTCCCTCCTGGGGTTACAGCCAGGCTCGATCACACATGGTTTGTTTGTTATTTACAAGTTCCGTATATGACTCACTTTAGTTCCAGCACACAGTAGGTCTACACTGAGTTTGATCATTTGCTACCAGCCAAGGACTGTCTGTTTAATGGTGCCCCCTACACTGTACCAATTATTCCCCTCTCTGATTTGTATTCCAAAGAAATTCTATGAATTTGCCATCCCTCTCATTTTGCCTCTCCTCTCACTCATTCTGCACACCAAGGCTCCTCACCTCAAGTGAAATACCACTTGTGAGCCACTCCACTTGGGAGTACTTGAGAAAACCACTATGTACTCAGAAACAAACAAACAAACAAACAAACAAACCAAAACCAAACCAAACAAACAAACAAACAAACAAAAAAACAGACAGCAGATTTTACTTCTAGCAAAACCAAGATGCTTGGCTGTTAGCTCTACACACACAGAATCCTTCTGGCTTATGTCTGCATCATACTTTCTGGCTACAAACTAGTTGAGCAAGTTGCCCAGGTCCTTTTACTCTGATCCTTACAGTTACTCTATGATACAGGAGGAAAGTACTTAGATATATGGCACTTTATGGGTGAGGAAGCTAAATCACAAAGAAGTCAACCCAGTACCCAGAAATGGAGCTCTCCTGGCCAGGCTTTCCCTTCCTTACTTCCTGGAGCTCTGTTACCTGGCAGTGTTCCACTTCATCAGGTAGGACATGGATCACCGATTTGCGTCCCCCGTGGGCTCCAAAAAGATCTAGTTCATCAATTGCCTCAAGTGCTGCCTACAAAAACAGGTAAGAATTACTTTCATTTTAAATAAACACAGTGTGGCACTCCTTCTTCATTAAGCAATCTAACATATATGTTTCTCCTAATGGCAGTGAAGGTCTTTAAAAATCTAGCTAGAGTCTCACTGTCATGATCTGTCTTCATTTTTAGTAGCTCAGAGCTTTCCAGTATGACACCACTCATTCTATGAAGAAGAAAGAAAACATACGGAAACTTTTCCTTGTTATGAAATTACAGTTCTGTCAACAGATGGAATATTAACAAGCTTACAACATCACGTGTGGGGCACTAAAAATGAATTTAGGATTGGATTTCTTTTACCTACTTTAGCGATTAACCTATCTCATGGTCCACTGAGAAAGTTCATTTGGTTTTCTGTAAAAAGTACACATTCTATCAGTTTGCTGTAACAGAGGATATTAGTTGTTGCTTTTCAAACTGTGGCTCTGGGGCCTTCATGCTATCTAAGCAGTTCACCCATGTGTTGTGAAGGGGTGTGAATGAGGTACACCAAATGCCCATAGCAACAGATTCGTACCAACAGCTTCCAGGCTGGATGGGCCCCTTGGGTGCACTCTGGCTTTAAGCAGCCTTTCCTTTCCCTCCCCTTCTTTTTTAATTCTGTTTCCATTCTTCCTGTCTTCATCCCTGCCTCGCCTTGTCTCATCTCCTCTCTCTCTCTCTCTCTCTTTTTTTTTTCCTTTTTGGAATAGGGCTTCACTGTGCTGCCCAGGTTGGCCCCAAACTCCTGGGTTCAAGTCACCATCCTGCCTCAGCACTCTGGAAGCTGGGATTAGAGACACGCATTACAGTGCTGCCTTGAAAAGCATTTTTGTAAATGATTTTGAGTTGAAATACTTTCAGAGAAAGTTCCCAGTGTTCCCAGAATCTCCCTCATTTCCTGCTATCTTTCTATCTGGCTAGCTTCACTGATTATTGTTACTTTTCTGATCTTGTAGACTTGAAGATGTGTGTCTCACCTACAAAATTCTCATTTCTCATTCACTATAACCTAAAGAGGAGACTGTCTATCACTAGCACAGATTAACTGCAAGAGCTTGGATCTATGGGTAACACACCAAATAGCTAGGGCGGAACACTTATTTTTCTGTCACATGCAGATTTCAGTGTTGGAAACCTATTTTCTTGACCTATAATTTACTTGGCTTGGGGTACAGGTGCCACTTGGATTTCATATACTGGCTGCTGACTTTTGAGAAAAAGAAGTACTATTCATAATAAATCCAAATTCCTAACGAAGAGAAGCAGGCAAAGCGTAAACACACAGAGAAGGAGAACAAACAGGACTGTTACCTTGGCCATTCCCACAGAGCTTGCATTTAGTTCTGGAATGCCCTGATTAGTCTTATCTCCACGTTCCCACATTCCATAATCCTGGAGGGGGAAAAGGCAGTGGAAAAATACTAAGGAAAAGCAATCTGTTTATGTTACATAATGAAACATGAGTGTGGCTTCTCAAAGGCTCTCAATGATGTGGTTTACATACTCATATTCTGTTCTTGCTCAATTTCAGCTTAGGTGGCCTCTGTACAGAATTTCAGAAGAAAATACTCAAGTGGAACAAATACACAAAAACTCTAAAGACTTATTTCTAAAAGGCATTAATTTGTAACAAACTAAATTTGCAGTGAACAAAACATTTTACTTATCATCTATCAGATCTATCTATCTATCTATCTATCTATCTATCTATCTATCTATCTATCTATTTATATTTATTATGATTTATTTACTTTGTATACCGGCTGTGGCTCCCTCTTCTCTTCTCCTTCCAGTCCCACCCTCCCTCCCTCTTTTCCCCCTCTGCCCCTCCCCTAGTCCACTGATAGGGGAGGTCCTCCTCCTCTTCCATTTGACCCTAGCCTATCAGGCCTTATCAAGGCTGACTGCACTGTCTTCCTCTGTGGCCTGGCAAGGCTGCACCCCCCCAGGGGGAGGTGATCAGAGAGCCTGCCACTGAGTTCATGTCAGAGACAGTCCCTGTTCCCTTTACTAGGGAAAACACTTATTTACTTATTTTAAAATCAAAGTCCTGCCCCTCTATTTGACCAATGTCTTTGAATTTATTTAAAATAATTCCTAAAACTGTCTTTAGCATTACCTTTTCTGTAAAAAAAAAAAAAATGTTTAGCAAGTAATTGAGGCCAAGGTCAAAAGTGACTCACTGAACACGCATAGTATTAAAGACATTAATATGAATTAATTCAGAATACTGTCATACAGAAAACTCAAATACTCATATACCTAACTTTTGGTGATTCATATTTTATTTAAAATATGAATATTTAAATAAAATATAAAATATTCATATATTTATATACTAATTTAAATATTCATACAGTTAAATATTACTATATAAATATTTTTATATTTAAATATGAATATTTAAATATAAAAATGTTTATTTAAAAACATATATATTTTTTAAAAATTCTTTATTAATTACACTTTATTCACTTTGTATCCCCCCTGTGGTTCCCTCCCTCTTCCTGTCCCAATCCCTCCCATCCTCCACCCTCTGCATGTATGCCCCTCCCCAAGTACTCTGATAAGGGAGGTCTTCTTCTCCTTCCTTCTGATCCTAGTCAATTAGGTCTCATCAGGAGTGGCTGCATTGCCTTCCTCTGTAGCCTGGTAATGCTGCTTCCCTCTCAGGGGGAAATGTTTCAAAATGCTACATACCCTACCGAAAGAGCAAGTCCTAACAAGAACCAGTATGGCTGCCTAAACATGACCCGAGTAAGTATGACACCAGCAGACATGCAAACATGGAAGGGAAAAGGCTCATGGAGCCTCAACCACAGACAACTAAGGAATATTGACAGTGGAAGAAATAGTCTTCCATAGGGAAGAGCACACCAATTGTTTATCCAATACCAAATGGTCGGCCCTGAAAACATATATACAAGTAACAGACTGAGCAGGCTATATTTAGATTTTTAGGAATATATATGTATGTGTTCGTACAATTAAAGAAAGAGGCCATGAATATAAAGAAAGCAAGGGGGTATCTGGGAAGATTTAGAAGGAGGAAAGCGAAGGAGGAAATGATCTAATTATAATATAATCTCAAAAAACTTATTACAAAAAGAAGAGGGTTGATGCCAAAATATCAGTCTTCAGCATGGATACTTACAGCAACTTTATATGCAGCTTCAATGTAAAACACAAGATTCTGTATGAAGGCCACTTCATCAAGGGTGAAAATAATACGTAAGCCTAACAAAGAAAAGCAATGTTGTTATGAAGTGATACTGTGAAGAGGGGTGCCAATTACACACAATAAATATTTTGCAAAACACAAGTTCTTTTTATCCCATGTTTATTGTTTTCATTAGTATCATTTACTACAATTTATTCAATTTGTATGTCTGCTGTGACCCCCTCCCTCATCTCCTCCCAATCCCACCCTCCCTCTTCTCCCCTAATGCCCCTCCCCCAGTCTACTGATAGGGGAGGTCCACCTCCCCTTCCATCTGACCCTAGTCTATCAGGTCTTATCAGGACTGATTGCATTGTCTTCCTCTGTGGCCTGGTAAGGCTTTACCCCCCAGGGGGAGGTGATCAGAGAGCCTGTCATTGAGTTCATGTCAGAGACAGTTCCTGTTCCCCTTATTAGAGAACCCACTTGGAGACTGAGTCTATCTATGGGTTACATCTGAGCCGGGGTTTTAGGCCCTCTCCATGCATGGTCCTCCGTTGGGGTACCATTCTCTTCAGGGGCCCCAGGGCTAAGTCTTTTGGTTCTGTTGCTCTCCTTGTGGAGCTCCAGTCCCCCTCCAGGTCTTTCTATCTCCCCCTTCTTTCATAAGATTCCCTGCATGTATTGGGCACCAACAGTTAACCTTGAAGAAAGCCCTAATGGCGGTGTCTAATCTCCGAAAGAAGAAGGGAAGTAAAAGGAAAGAGGAAGCATGGGTTGGAGGGCTAGCTCCACCCCTGCAGGTGTGCCTATGGGAAGAATCAGAGATAAGGAAGGCATGGGTTGTCTGGAGCACGTTATATTTGTGCAGAGAAGATGCTAACAGGGAAAGATTTTAGGCCAGAAATTTCAGCAGCATTGTCCCTAGCCTTGAGTGAACCAAAGCATAAACCTGCACATGCTCAGGTAGAGGCTAATTTCATTGCCTACGGGTCTCAGACTGGGCCCCTGCATTTCCTGCCCTAACACAGACACAGATGCACATGGCACCACAGGGAAGCATGCTTTTCTTCTGCATAACCTACTACCAATTCTAGTACCAGGAGTACTAACTTATGTTCTCAGTGTGTCTCTTTGCAATTCAGTATTGATAATGTGACAGTACTAAGTTGTGGGGGCTTATACGAGTTTAGGCCATTAGCATCCTCCCTCGTGGATGGATTAGAAGCCTGGTGAAAAGGACTTCACACAACATCCGGTTCTTAATTCATGTGCCATGTGAAGACACAGCTTTCTACTTCTTCAGAGGAGGCAGCTCTGAGCAGACAGCTGAACTTGTCAGGATCTTAATCTTAGGTTTTTCAGCCTCTAGAATTGTGAGAAAATAAACCTCCACACCGTTTCAATTTCCAAGTTTGGGGTATTTTGTTATCATAGTCCAAACAGACATTGCCCTTTCACTTTCTCATTTGTCACTCGAATGGCCCTGGTTCACCTGAGGCAGTCATCTGGGCCAGGAAGAGGATGAAGAGGGAGGTGGCATCCATCTGGAGGTGGCCCCACTGGTCATCACCCACCACGACGCTGCAGGTGGCAGTGTTGTACTTGGCATGGAGACTGTCCTTGGTACTCTGGGTGTGCTTGAACTTCTCCACTTTGTCCACCTGAGGAAGAGAGCAAACTGGCTCCACCTAGCACTACAGGTTCACAGCTGGCAGAAGTCTTATCTAGGGATAATCACTCAAGATACTAGACCTCTTATTTGCTATCTCTGGGAGCCAAGAGGATGGCAAGTACCTGCTTATGAGCACTACACATGGGCTATGATGGAGATTATTTTTTTTCTCCATTCATTCAATGGGAATACCTCCGCCCACAGATTTTTAGACAGCTGTACATAGGTAAGGCTCAGGTCAAAAAGGGGTCCTTGTCTACAGACTTCCCAGAAGGGGAGCACGGTAGGTTCTCAAGAACATAGGGAAGGAAGGAAAAGAACATGCTTAAATGTCAACCTCTCTTTCCTTAGCACGCAAAGAAAAGAATATGATGTCTTTGGATATTCCGACTAAGGGTGCGGTAGTATCACCCCCATCCCTGCGCCACTGAAGCACATGTATAAGGTTCTCTACATAGTACCGCAATGGACTGTTTCCTCTACCCTGAAGGTATCAGTAACCAAGAATGCCAATCTAAAAGGACAATTACAGTCATTTATCTTTTTGTGCATAAGTGTACGCGTGGACACACTTGGAGGTTAAAGGACAACTTGTGGGGGCTGTTTCTCTCCATCGAGCATGTGGGTCCAAGCACTGAACTCCAGTCTTCAGGCTTGGTGATGGGTACCTTGACCCAATGACTCATCCCCAATAATGACCATTTCTAAAAACTCAAGCACTTGATCCGAAGTGAAAACACACAGAATAATCAAGAAGTTGTTCATGGCTTTCTCTGAGTGGTTTTGATATTTATTTTCTTAATTAAAAAAAAAGGCATGTTCTTTTATAAAAACAAAATTTTTGAGGGTCTTCAAAACTGTCCTCTGAGACTATGGCTCTATAGCATAAGAAAATTATTGAGGCTAATTTTAAAAAGAGAAATTAAAAAAAAATATATTTCCGGTTTTTCTTCTTTAGAAAGTTCTAAATGTAATAAGCATGCCATATCAATTCAAATGACCCAGATGGACTCTCCAATGATCTGTAGGTACTAGCCTATCATATTCCACCTACCTGTCTCATCATGCACTGGAGGAGACCTCGCATCAGCTTCACTACATTCTGTGGAAATAAAAGGGCAGTAGTAACAAGGCTTAGGTTTCCTGCTTCAAGAAAACCAGTGACTCCCTACTTGGTCAATAACCCGGTGTTGTCTGGCAATGTTCCGCAAAAGACAGACCCCAACAATAGAGAAGTCTTCTGGTTGTTCACATTACTGAGAGTTTTCTGCTCCGCCCAAAATAATTATTTTTGACAAAGTGATTTATCTCAAATAAAAGGGTTAGCTCAGATGTATCTTTGGGATCTGGAATTCAGTCACTCCCTACTAACATTCTTTTTTTTTTTTTTTCAACTAACATTCTTATAAGCTTAGTAGTCAAGAACTCTACATTACATTTCTTAGTAATTTATTTTTGTTATATTAAGGATGAATTAAGCCTACCATGCCTGTCCAAAAGTAATGATATTTTGCTAAAAGTGCCACTTGTGACACCATTATTGGACCATTGAGCAAAATTCTTACAAAATACAAGTGGTATCCAAGGTTTTTTAATAATGTGATTATTAATAACATGGCAACTGAATATTATCATCATCAATCATAGTAATGGTTAATTAATTAATTAGCTACCCCATTCAGACACTGTGAAAAACACTTTAAAATTTTTTTATTATTTTGAATTCCAGCACCAGCTTTAAAAGGTGGGTAGTATTTTTACCCCAGTCTCTAGGAATCTGTGCCTGAGGGAGATGAAATAACATTTCTTAACTCTCCTGTGATGACAAGGGGAAGAGAAAAACAGAATGTAGATAATTAGACGTCATGAACTGAAACTTTCTACTTACAAGCATGGGTGTATGAGGGCATACACCATACCTTCCAGGGGACAGCAGAGTAAAATGGCCTGAAAGTTCATGGTCTGGAAGACAGACACTTCCCACACTAAAATCCTAGGATTCTAAAATATAATTCCAATTTTTATTATAAACTCTGTTGGGGCAGAAAATGTGACCTCAAATATACTGTTGTAATTCTTATAGTGTAGATTACATAAACATTTGTCAACTGACTTCCCCTTGGACAACAAACAGCTATTTCCAAGGAGAAGAAATACAGTGCTTTCCAACTTGAGGTGACATGGCCAATCCCCAGTAGTGGCTTTCCCACTACTGGAAATGTGGGGTAGGAGTACTCTAATCATAACAATGACAGTGGCAAGAATTATTGGAACATAATAATCAGGACCAGAGTCCCTAAATGTCCTCAAATGCATGAGATAATCTCATAAAATGAAAGACTGTGTTATTAAGCCCCAAGTACCTCTAACTGAATAGTACTTGAAGATGCCCAGTCATCATTATTTTCCATAATCAAGGGTAATGTTGCTATTAGTATTTATTTATTGAGACAGAGAATCACTATGCAGCCCTGGATGGTCTAGAACTCACTATGTAAACCAGATTTGCTTTGAACTCACAGAGATAGATCTGCCTCTGCCACCTAAGTAGTATGATTAAGAAGCCTATGCCTGGTTCCATCTTTTACTTTATTAACTACACATCAGATAATAAAAGACATTACATATGAAATGTGGTCTGTTTGGGCTTCAGTAAACAAACTGAAATTTAATAAATTTAATAAAATTTAATCAGCCTTTGGGTGTGTGTGTGTATGTTTATGAGAGAGAGAGAGAGAAAGAGAGAGAAGATCCACAAGACACCTGATATCAAATTATTATGATTCATTTATCCACTTATCTTTCTAAAGGAGCCACCAGTGATTTTTTTTTTTTTACTTGCAATTTAAAAAACTTTCTATTCCTCAAAACATAAGTGATTTCATCACCTCACACCGAGCAAGCCTTGGTCAAATCCAAACTTTGCTCCCACAGATCAGCTTCCTTTCTTAGCTTTCCCCACAGTTGTCAAATTTCCTCCATGCTGCTTATCACGCATGCTCATTCTGGTTACTATAAACAACCAACAACTGGGCTAATAGAACTTTTCCTGGGCCCAATCATCCACTAGCTAGGAAGGCTATCCAGGAATGTATGAATTAAAGATAAAGCCCAGGACCAGGGTGCTCAACTGGTATACTGTGTGTTGATCTTGTGTGAGGTCCTGCATTCAATTCTTATCCCCTGAATTCCATCTTTATAAGGATTAAGCTCAAATGTTCTCATGCCAAGACGATTATACTTTTAGATTTCTATGTTCCTTACCCAAACACTAGCACTCAAAACATTCGAAAAATATCTCCTGTGCTCAAGGTATAATATTTACAATAGTAAATCTTTGTCTTACTAGGTATCTTGATTTCTGATTTTGAAAAATATTTTTTTCCAGTACCGAGGACTGAGCCTGGGGCTCTAGTATGCTAAGTGACATTTATTCTCTGACTTTGGAAACCTTAATAAAATGCCTTCATTGAGTTACATGACAAATAATACAGGCACAAAACTTAAATAATATCAATTTGGCTCAAATCTAAAAGGTGACTATGAGTTAATAAGACTGATGTCCTGGAATGATGCAAACTAGAAAGGCATTTTCAAGGGACGTTTTAAAATTCTGTTAAGCAGTGGCAACTGCATTTAGATAAATATTCTTTGCAACGTAACCATTTTGAATAGCACGTGCTTTGGGATATCTAGCTCTGATGCATCAACTTTTTCTTTCTTTTTTCCATTTGGTGCCCAACAGGAACAGATGGTAATGTGGTAGATCACCATGCATCAACTTTTCATAAGCAATCATATGAAATCAAAATGAGGGCTGGAGAGATGGCTCAGAGGTTAAGAGCGCTGGCTGTTCTTCCAAAGGTCCTGAGTTCAATTCCCAGCAACCACATGGTGGCTCCCAACCATCATATAATGAGATCTGGTGCCCTCTTGTGGCCTGCAGGCGTACATGCAGGCAGAGCACTGTATATAAAAAAAACAAAAAACAAGTAAATCCTTACAAAAATAGAAAAAGGAAAAAAAGAAGAAAAAAATAAATCAAAATGACATTTTTTTTTACATATATGAGAAAGATATAACTAGTTAGGCATAGTAACATATTAGGGATAGAAATTTGGATGTTTTTTGTTTCCTATTTAATGGGATTTGTGATGTTATTTTTTTATCTCAAAGATAAATGTGTGGTTTCAACCATCTGAATGCTTTCAGAAAATATTCTGTAGCACAAATGAAAGACAGGTCTGCATCCTAACTGTTCTGCAAACACAATAATTTCCAGTTCAAGAAAAGGTACTGAGCAGACAAGACCCTGATATCAGTCACTATTACCTGTTCCAACTCATAGGCCTTGGCTTTATCCTCATCGCGGTCAGCATTTTTGCGGTAGGCCATGCCCAGGCCCCAAACAGCCAATATGCTATAGATGTTGTCTCGTACCCAGGCATCCTTCTGATCATGGCTCGCTGATAACAGGCCAGTGACTGGGCTCTATTAGAGTAGAGAAAAAAAGATGCTTAGTATCATCCTTCGTAAAGCTCTCATAATGGAATTAATGTTCACCATGGAGGTGGATAAGGGCTCAAGAGCAAAGCAGGGAAACCTGACTTCCTTTTCTCTGTATCTCAGATGCCTCATTCATATAATTAGGAGACAAGACTAGAAAATCTTTAAGTAACTTTTTAATTCTTATGTTCGTTTTTAAACCTCCAGACCAGACCACACTGTTGCAATGGATAAAAGAGAAGAAATGCCAACAGAAAAAGTCTACCAGGCTTTACCAATCTGTGATTACAAAATTGGTCTGTTTGGCCTTCATGTTTCCATATCAGTTGGTAGAGCCCTGAACTTGGGAGCAACATACTTGCATTCGGGGTCCTGATCCACCTCCTAACTCTGTGTGTCCAGAAAAGTTACCAGTCCTATCTGGACCTCAGCTACCATGTCTGCAATACAGATACTTCATTCATCTGAACAGAAGATGCTATGCAGGAAGGCGTATGGTAGCCTTCAATAGCTGTGATAGCATTGGTGTGTTCTACAAAAGCAGTAAGGTCAGCAAAAGGTTTAGACGTTGTAATGGAAAGTTATACATAAATGTTCATAGCAGCATTGTTCATAAATGGTAAAAACTAGAAACAGCGTGTATTTATCAACTGATGAATGAAAAACATTTCCCTTTGTTAAAATTTATTTTATGTGTATATGTACTTTGCCTGTGTGTATGTATGTACACCTGTGCATTTGCATGTCTGGCACCCACGCAGGTCAGAGGAGAATGTTAAATCCCCTAAAACCCGTTATAAATGGTTGTTAATCATGCAGGTGCAAGAACTGAACCAGGGTCCTCTACAAAAGAACAAGTGTTCTTAACCACCAAGCCATCTCTCCAGCCTGGTTTTCTCTTTGCTTTATAAAAGGGATCAAAATTAATTGTGGTGAGAGATGTACAACTCCACGAATATACTAAAAACCAGTTGTGCACTTTAAATAAACAAATTAAACAGTAACTAAATAGTATGTCAATAAAGCTAGGTATAATTGGGAGTACTGGGGATTGAATCTGGAGCATCAGACATGTTAGGCAAACATTCTACCACTGAGCTATATAAAGCCAACCCCCCCCCCCAAAAAAAATCTGATCCCACAAATAAACTGGTTAAGAGTCGCCATTTGTTGAAAATGCTATCTTTTTTCCATTGTATGGTTTTGGCATCTTTGTCAAAGATCAGGTGTCTGTAAGTGTGTGGGTTTATTTCTGGGTGTTCTGTTCGGTTTCATTGATCCACCATTCTGTTTCTATGCCAGTACCATGCAGTTTTTATTACTGTTGCTCTATAGTACAGCTTAAGATCAGGGATGGAGATACCTCCAGAAGAGCTTTTATTGTAGAGGACTGTATTAGCAATTCTGGGTTTCTTGTTATTCCATATGAAGTTGAGAATTTTTCTTTCAAGGTCTGTAAAGAATTGTGTTGGTAATTTGATGGGAATTGCATTGAATTTGTAGATTGCTTTTGGTAAGATAGCCATTTTTACTATGTAAATCCTGCCAGGCCATGAGCATGGGAGATCTTTCCATCTTCTGATATCTTCTAATTCTTTCTACAAAGACTTGAATTTTTTTTCATACAAGTCTTTGACTTGCTTGGTTAGGGTTACACCAAGGTACTTTATGTCATTTGTGGCTATTCTGAAGGGTGTTGTTTCCCTAATTTCTTTCTCAGCCCTTTTGTCTTTTGCGTTCAGGAGGGCTACTGATTTTTCTGAGTTAATTTTGTATCTGGCCACTTTGCTGAAGGTGTTTATCAGCTGTAGGAGTTCCCTGGTAGAATTTTTGTGGTCACTCAAGTATACTATCATATCATCTGCAAATAGTGATAATTTGACTTCTCCCTTTCCAATTTGTATTCCCTTGATCTCCTTCAATTGTCCTATTGCTCTAGCAAGGACTTCTAGAACTATGTTGAGGAGATATGGAGAAAGTGGGCAGCCTTGCCTTGTCCCTGATTTCAGTGGGATTTCTTTAAGTTTCTCTCCGTTTAGTTTGATGTTGGCTATAGGCATGCTGTATATTGCCTTTACTATGTTTAGATATGTGCCTTGTATCCCTGATCTCTCCAAAACTTTAAACATGATGTCTACATGTAGAAAAATGAAAATAGATCCATATTATCACTCTGCACAAAACTAAAGTCCAAGTGGATCAAATACCTCAACATAAAACCAGACACATTAAATCGGTTAGAAGAAAAAGTGGGGAAAACCCTAGAACTCATTGGTACAGGAGACAACTTCCTGAACAGAACACCAACAGCACAGGCTCTAAGAGCAGCAATCAATAAATGGGACCTCATGAAACTGAAAAGCTTCTGTAAAACAAAGGACACTGTCATCAAAACAAAACAACTGCCTACAGATTGGGAAAGCATCTTCACCAACCATTTTTCTGACAGAGGGCTAATATCCAGTATATATAAAGAACTAAAGAAGCTGAAAAGCAGCAAACCAAGTAATCCACTTAAAAAATGGGGAACAGAGCTAAACAGAGAATTCTCGACAGAGGAATATCGAATGGCAGAGAAACACTTAAAGAAATGCTCAACCTCATTAGCCATCAGGGAAATGCAAACCAAAACAACCCTGAGATTTCACCTTACACCCATCAGAATGGCCAAGATGAAAAACTCGAGTGACAACACATGCTGGAGAGGCTGTGGAGAAAGGGGAACCCTTCTCCACTGCTAGTGGGAATGTAAACTTGTACAACCACTCTGGAAATCAATCTGGCGCTTTCTCAGACAACTAGGAATAGCACTTCTCAAGATCCATCCATACCACTCCTGGGCATATATCCAAAAGAGGCTCAAGTACACAATAAGGACATCGGCTCAACCATGTTTATAGCAGCTTCATTTGTGACAGCCAGAAGCTGGAAACAGCCTAGATGCCCCTCAACTGAAGAATCGATGCAGAAATTGTGGTCCATCTACACAATGGAATATTACTCAGCAATGAAAAATAAGGAAATAATGAAATTTGCAGGTAAATGGTGGGAACTGGAAAGGATCATCTTGAATGAGGTGTCCTAGAAGCAGAAAGACATACATGGTATATACTCACTCATATAGAAATGTAATATAGGATAAACCTACTAAAATCTGTACATCTAAAGAAACTATTCAAGAGAGAGGACCCTGACTAAAATGCTCAATCCCCATCCCAAAAGGCAAAGAGGAAGGACATCAGAAGAAGAAGAAAACAGGAAACAACTAGAAACCTGCCACGGAGGGCCTCTGAAAGGCTCTGCCCTGCATTCTATCAAAGGAGATGCTGAGACTTATGGCCAACTGTTGGGCAGAGTGCATGGAATATTATGTAAGAAGTGGGAAATAGTAAGATCGGGAGAGGACAGGAACTCCACAAGGAGAGCAACAGAACCAGAAATTTGAACATAGGGGTCTTCCTAGAGACTCATTCCAACCAAGTACCATGCATGGAGATAACCTAGAACCCCTGCACAGATGTAGCCCATGGCAGTTCAGTGTCCAAGTGGGTTCCATAGTAATGGGAACAGGACTGTCTCTGACATGAACTGATTGGCCTGCCCTTTGATCACCTCCCCCTGAGGGGGGAGCAGCCTTACCAGGCCACAGAAGATGACAATGCAGCCACTCCTGGTGAGACCTGAGAGACTAGGATCAGAGGGAAGGAGAGGAGGACCTTCCCTATCAGTGGACTTGGGGAGGGGCATGCGTGAAGAAGGGGGTGGGAGGGTGGGATTGGGAGGGGAGGAGGGAAGGGCTTATGGGGATACAAAGTGAATAAAGTATAATTAATAAAAATAAAAATAAAAAATAAGAGTCACATAGTCAACTAACTTCTGAAATTATACAAAGAACTAGGTATGCTATAAAATATACTTTTATAATTAGAACCTTGCCACGTTAAAAAAAAAAAACTTATTTGTCAGCTTAATATATTACCTGTACTCTCACACACTGGGTTTTGTGAGTCACCCAAACGGGTCTTTGTCTTTAACGCTCTGTGGTCTTTGCTTGACACTGGTTATGTGTCTTGTTAGGGTTTCTACTGCTATGACAAAAACACCATGATCAAAAAGCAAGCTGGGGAGAAAAGGATTTATTCAGCTTATACTTCCAGATCATAGCCCATTGTTGGAGGAAATTAGTGCAGGAACTCAAGTAGGGATGGAACCTGGAAGCAAAAGCTGATGGAGAGGCCATGGAGGATGCTGCTTACTGCCCTGCTCCCCATGGCTTGGCCTGTCTGCTTTCTTATAGAACCCTGGCATCACCCACAATGGGCTGGGCCCTCCCCCAGTGAGCACTAATTGAGAAAATGCCTTACAGCTGCATCTCATGGAGGCATCTCCTCAACTGAGGCTCCTTCCTCTCTGATGTCTCTAGCTTGTGTCAAGTTGACAAACAAATCCAGCCAGTACAGTATGCAAATGGAGGAGTTCTGGCAAGCTAAACAAAATGGACAGCTCAGAAGTACAGTACTTGCCTAGCATGTACATGGAGCCCTGGGTTCATTCCAATCACAAAACAAAACAACCATTATTCAGAGGGTACTGTATCATTTGTAGGAAGGGTTATGAAAAACTCCACTGGGTCATTTCAAGAGGGTACCGCCAAAGCTATTAGGTGAAATATGTTGATGGTGCTTCACGTGGTCCCACCAAGAAATTAAGTATTTGGCTTTCTCATTTAACTAATGTATACCCTATGTCAAAATCTATCTAAAACTTGGCATACACTACCTGCAGGAACAACAACATTCAGTGTATTGAAACAGTCCTCCAGCCAACATAGTGGTTTTAAAGTCATGGCTACGGTCTCAAAGAGCTAAAAGTACAAGTCTTTTTGCAATAGTGGGTTACTGAGTCTAAAAGAATCACTATTCACCAACATTATATGCACATCACAGGCAGTTTTATGGGGCCTGTTTGGGTAAGCTTGTGACAAA